CTGGATGAATTATGGGAGGCGCATCTGGTGATGCAGCACGCTAGGCTTTCGACAACCAAAGCGGGCAGGATTATATTGGAAAGGACTGGTATTGGAGCAGAGGCTCCCACTGGGGACACTAAAATTCAGGTGCGGCGGGAGTTACATAAGGCCCTGTACATAAAACCTTTGCCCAAAAATATGCATCCGATTCACCATACGCAGCGCAGGCAGGCAAGAGCCAGAGCTTTACACGTTGAGTACGGCGAGTACAAAGTGGCAGTCTATACAGATGTTGCGGAATATAAGGACAAAGACGCTTTTGTGATTGTGTTATTCCTTTTTTTTACAATGCACTGTACCACAATTTCTTCACTTTTGATTCCTTTCTTCCATCGTGACTTTGTAAGTACAGTTCACTATATCTTTCAGCTGTTCGTGGACACTTCAAAAAACGAAAGAATGAATCGGTGTTCTCTTTCAACCAGGCCGGCGACAGTCCCTTTGCCTGCTTGAGCTATTGATCTTCACATATTGTAACCTAACATCCCGCCTGTTCCTAATCTGTAGAACTTATCTTAATCAAAATATCCACCGCTAAATATATGCATTTCAGTCCCACGACTATATTCCCTGCTTCTTTTGCATCCAGCAATACTCAGAACGCCTCTTACCTATATAGATTCCTGACCGGCTAACGCTCCAAACTTCTTCGAATATACCAGCGCTTCTAAAAGGTTAACAACACGGATTAATGTGCTGACTCGTATTTTGTACTGGATAGATGGGTATATAGATGGGATAGATGGGGGATAGATGGATGAAGGTTGTTAGGAGCATCCCCTTTGAATTGGGGCGACGGCTAGAGTCACCTACTTCTTTATTAGCCCTTTCTCTGTTCAGTAGTAACAAGTTGTCGCTTCCTACCTTCTGCCTCCCAATTTTCATTGCTTCTGTAAAATTCCATGTTCATGCTGTTCATTCCATGTTTCCGGGACTGTCTTGGAAACAATATCTCGGGCAGCTTAATTATTAAAAAGATACCAACTTGACTTCCGACAACAATATGCTCCTTGTTTACAAGAACTTTCCCACTGCGTTAAACGTAACAGGCGTCCACGTTAGAGGAGTCTACGGAAGTGACCGAAATAATGTGGAGTCCACCACTACTGCGTGCCTCATATGCTGGCACGAAAAAAACAAAAACAAAAAAACACGAGCAATTGTTATTATTGACCGTACTAGTGCCACTTTCCGGATGTTATCAACACCGTACAGCACCGCAAGTTTATGTTTACTATTAGTTCTTCCGTGCAAACGCGTCTCGCGTTGAACGCGCACCGGCTTGCAGGCCATATGCGTCATCATCAAGGATATGAAGCGATGGAGTTGGTCACTTTGGAGAGCGCACGCATAGGGGCATCGAGTGCTATATACTGGCTTAGAAATGCAGAGGCGCCAACAGAATTTTTTTTTTTTCAAGGGATGAGGGGGGACACACACGTACCCAAACCTTGCCACGCTTCACGTTTATTATCCTCATGTATACCCCAGCGACACATGCCCATCATGTGGACACACAGCGACACTTGCACACATGCTCTGGGAGTGTAGAACAACTCCTCCCGACTCTACCTCAAGCAAGTGGGAGAGGTTTCTCAGGAGCTCTCTTCTCGCCGACCAGCAATAGGCCGTCCAGCAGGCCCACGAAGCGGCCGCCAGGTACTCACTGTCGGTCCCTACGTGGGAGACGCCCGCTACGCGCTAAGCCAACGCCACCGAGACTGACTAAAGAATTTCCTCTAGGTCGTGTTGGCTAAGCGCGTCCTGCAGGACTGAAATAAAGCTTTTTCATTCCATTCCATGAAGGGGGGGGGGGGGCACATCTTTGATTTGAAGAGGGGACCAGACGGGCGGATGTGGTCGTGTGAAATTCTGTACTTCGCATGCCACGGTAATAAAAAAAGTTCGGGGGGGCACGGGCCTGACAACTTGATTGTGGCTTGACAATCTGAAAGGAAAGAAGGAAGAAGAAGAAGGAAGGGCAGGGAAGCTAACCAGTCTAGAAGGACCGGTATGTTATACCCACACATTGCGGAAAAGGATGAGGTAGTTCGAAGAATGGAGAAACAGAGAGGGGGAGAACATGCACGCACGTCACCGCCATAATAACGCCATTATTCTATAACCGCCGGTGCAAGTCTCGTGTGTTCAAAGACACTGCCATCGTCGCCTTCACTCGCAATGACCTCTCAGGTCGACACTCCAGAATGGTTTCTGCCATCATTCAGGTCTGTGATGTAGACGAGCTAGAGCGACCTGCGAAGTGATTTTCTCGGCACACTGTAGCGAGGACAGTCGCTGGAGATGTGCCGTATTGTTCGCTTCGCTACCAGTTTTCAAAAAAGGGTTGTCATCCATTTCGATTCAAAAGGGGACTGATTTCGTGAAAGCCTACTGTTAGCCATAATTGGCAAATCAGGGTGGCATCAACTCGGCGTAGTCCAGTAGGCGTCTGAAGTAGTGGCGTAGGTTGCGCAGAGTACTTGCAGTATTCCGAGTGGAGAAAGCGATTTCACGTGCGATCCCCTCGAAATTGGTTAGCAGCATATCGGTCCTAGACAGGGGTATTGTGTCGAGCCTGTCGCCTTGAAGAGCTGATCGAGCAGCATTGTCGGCGTATTCATTGGCTATCACACTGCAGTGACTAGGCAACCACTGCAATGACACGTGGTGTCCTTTCTCGAACGAAGTATGGAGAAGGTACCTATAACCTCGAGGAACAACTGCTCGCATGGTCCTGTGCCGCAGGGCTGGTAGCAAAGATTGCAGCAACGTCCAGGTGTTCTTTTGAGATCGTATAATTCTGAAGAGCCACACTTCCCCGTATAGCAACGACTAGGTTTCTCCTATATTTACAGTTACTATGTACACAGATTGATTCGTGCAGCGTACGATTTTCCTCCATGCATTCTGTGCCTGCTTTTGAGTGTCCACGTTATAAATAACCTAGTGTTCCGTCCCTCCGTTGTATATATACCTACAGCGGTTTCATCGGCCATGGTTGGAAATAAACAAATAAATCTGTGTCACCTCAGGTGCCACGTGCTAAACACATTCGCTGGTAATCTATCTTCACTTTAATTTATTTATTTATTTATTTATTTATAACACCTTGCTAAGCCTAAGAGGGCATTTAGTAAGGAGCCTAGTACAATGCAAACATAAGGGTGCAAAAATACCCCGATAAGTACAGGTTGCAATACATGACGAATTATTATACGCGGCGAAACATCAGCATGAATATACCAAGGGGAGATGATAATTCACCATTCTCAAACACACAAAAAAAAAAGGAACGGTACAAGAAGAGACTACGCGGAAAAAAAAAAATTGAACGTCACGATACGAAATGTTTGCGCGATAGATCATGAAATGCTTGATTGTGGCAGATGAGTGCAATGTTATTGGGAAGATTACTACAGAGAAAAATGGCTCGTGGAAGTATTGATGAATTAAAAGCTTTTCTTCAGTACGTTTATTCGCTTGATGCTGTACTGATTGTGTAAGCGAGGCTAAATACGTAGAGACGAGTCCAATGGTAATTGAGATGCTTTGAAGCTGTAAAGATATTCTTGCATAAGCATAATAGAGTAGAAAACAATCTCATAAATAACGACAGAAGAATCACTTTACTTTCAGCGTGGCCCACACTGTTTTCATATTTGTAGATTCAAGAACGCGAAATGCCGGTACTAATCTAGGGAATCATCATCTCCATTCCGCAGGCACTGCCTCACAAATCATATGCTGTCTGTTCCTTGGATGTACGAGAGTGGATTTTGTTCAAAGTGGTGGTGCTTTCCAGCTTAGATTACTACAAAAAATATGCTTTATCAACGTCGCTATCAAAGTAAGCGGGCATTATAAAAGCAGTACACGCCAGCGAGTTCAATCAGAAAAAGAAAATGGTGCGATCCAGCGCGCGGTGCATTGATTTCACTGCGAGTGCCTATTACACAATAGAAATACAAGCGGCCTATTCATCAAAATTAACTAGCCCACGTTGTATGAAGTCTAAAACGAAAGAAAGAAGGAAAGAAATTAAGAATAATTAACGAAAAAAGAGAAAAGGATATGGCTAAATATCATTCGGCAAGCAGTAAAGCACCAACAAAAGAGACATATGCTGCTAATTAGTAACGCTCGGGCTTTAACGGCGATATCCCCTGGGCTGCGTTGCCCACGCGTAATACGCAACTCTGAACAATAAGCCAAAGACGCGTTCGCCCATTGTCGAGCTTAGCAAGGCGATCTCGAGCTCCTGACGGGCTGCTGCAGCTAGCTCACCCTTCAGTTTCATTTTGGAAACAGCTAATTTAGCACGCCAGCCACGAGTGAGAAAAACAAAAAGAAAAGAAGGCGCATCCATACACGTTCATACACATAACCCTGCGAAATCACGAGCGCCACGGCGTTGACGTTTTTTTTTTTTCTTTATAATCTTGTTCTTTTTTACCGTAGGTCACATCTTTCAGCCCAGTCTCGCTGCTCCAAAAGCCACAGCTGGTCCTTTGGAGGAATCACCTGTTGGGTAGACTGTTCGTCGCACGGAGAGCTCACCGTTATTGCGTGTTATTTTGTACTTTTTTTTCTTCGATCTCCCTCTCCGATTTCCCCTCTCCCTGTAGTACAAGCTGCACGCAGAACAGCGCTCGCTACTACGCGTTCTGGTGCGCTACATTTCACTCGGGGAGTTTCTTACGACGATCACGAACGCCCTCATTCGAATTCCGCACCGATTGCAGCACCCTGAAAGCAAGGCCAAGCCTGGAAGGCGGGAAGAACGAAATAATAAAAAGACTCTCCGCAGGAAACGAACAGCTTTCGTGCCTACGCGGCATCGGTGGCGCTTTCGTCTGCTCGAAAGCTGGCAGCAGACGCGGCGCCCGTTTCCGGCCACGCGCCCGGATCTCCAAGCTGGGCCCACGCCCCGCTCAAGAGTTGGGGAATTCTCTCACCTAGGGTGCTTAGTAGGGCTGGTGTTGCTGATGCTCCACGCTAGATGGATCCTGCAGATGCTCCGAGAGATGGGCGCGCAAGGTCCGAGCGCTGTCACCGCCACCACCGCAACCGAACAGGTCGCCGCTAAAGACACCGGTAGTGACGACGACGCCAGCGCCGCGCGCGCTATCAGCCCGCCGCAGCGACCGCGGCCGAAGCCCTTCAACCGTGAGACGACTCCGACAGCGAACGTGGCGCCATCTGCGACGAGCTCGGGGCTATATCGGTGCTCCGGCCCACTGTTGGCGCCAAGTTCGCATTAATGCGCGATTTGGCAACGCGCGGAATCGGAGGTACTTCTAGTCAGACAGCAGGATCATTGGCGTACCAAACAGGGGGAGGGAGGGAAGGCATAGGCACCTTCCCCTTGCGGAAAATTTGAAATTTAACACGTTTTGTACACAAGCACTGATAAAAAGACATGCACGAATGCACACAAAATGCTCTCACACACACTACGAAAAAAAAAAAAAATTCTGGCAACGACCCTGAGCAAGATGGCTGTCAATATACAAGACACCGTGTGCACCATTGCTGCATACCAAGCATAGGCTTGTCCAAGATGGGGAGGGGGAGGTTAAGGGCATTGGACTCCTCTATGTCGACCCAAGGAGTATTGCAGCTTGTAGGCATATATATGCCCTTTCACACACACACACTAGGTAATAGACCCCTCATACTGCTCATGTCCCCTGATACCAAGATTTACTGATTAACGAACCTCACAGATTGCATTTGGCAGAATTTTTGTTGAAATTCACACTCAAAAAGTGTCCTAAGAATAGAGGTGGGACCTTGAATATCACAGGAGCCCGCCATTATATAAAGTCACATGCCAAAGCCTGTGCAATGGGTACCTTTCCAAAACAAATTCACTCTGCAACGCAGGCTTGTTAAAAAAAAAAAAAAAACCCGCTTGTGTAGGTGCTGTGACATATAGACATATCAGATTGCATTTGGCAGCGAATATAAGGTTTGTCAATGAAGATAAAAAACTGAGTCTAATAAAAAAGATGTACTGATCTCATCAGCACATATTGAGACAGTTCCTGAAGATAGGCTCATTAGGCATCAATACACCACTGAGGTAATGGCTTCCATGCTCCCTTATGTTCAACACAATCAAAACATTGATCTTTCAGCCTTCTTTTGAACTTTGGGCACAGCACAAAGTATGCCGGGCTCATATCTGGCTGTATACAGCCCAGCATGGCCCTGATAGCAGCCTAGATGACTTCTGTTTCCGACGCTTTGGAGACGCCTGAAAAGTCACTGGTCTGGCCATATTCCCCCCATCCAAGGGCGTCTCAAAGTTTCTGAAATGAATTTCTTTGCTGCCACTCAGTCTGTGAAAGAAGTCGCAGCATTAGCTTTTACGGAACCGATATAGCATGAGAATCATGTTGGCATTGATGTACCAACGGCCAAGGTAATTCGTGTAAGCACATAGAGCTGGGCAAGATTGTCTTCTTTCTTTCTGTCCTTGTCTATTCCTGTTTTTGTAAGGAGACCACTTTGAAGAATTGAAATAATATGTACAACCAGGTCAATATATATCTTTTGCCAGAACCAGTCTCATTACATCGTGAACAAACCATGTGCGCTTGAAGTGCAACGTAATAGTTTCCAGCCACCTCCTTGACGCTTCAAGAGGACAATGTGTGTTCAAGAGGATCACAGCATTTCCTGTGATCCTCAAAAGCATTGCTAAACTATTCATCTGAGCATTCTAAAGATGTAAAAAAATAAAATAGTCGTGTCATGCCCGAAGTCTCCTGTCACAAAATCACACATGTGCAAAGTCAGTGCCACCTATAATTTGCGGATCAAACATTTATTTGAAGTAAGCTACCCATCATATTGCTTTCCAAAATCGATATGGGAGCCGACAGATGAAAAAACGTAGTGGGATGATCATGGTGAACAGTGGAAGTGCTCCAGACAGACTGGCCGACAAAAATAGGTCCTTCTATCGAAACGTGGGCCAGCCTGTCTGAGGCACTTCCACTTTTCACCTTGATTATCCCACTATAATATTGCAGTAGCACGATGTCTGAACACTTCTTCAGTTCATCAAATCTGAAGAAAATTAGAGAAACCAACAAGACCAAGAGTCGGTATCCTTACATCTGCTTCTTATGACACAGTCTTGTGCACCATCATGCAGAAGAATGAAAGGCAGGCAAAAGACAAATGAATATGTGGGTCATAGAACACAGCATTCAATTCGCAAAACCTCGCACTGATGCATATAGTTCTTTTTGACTGGGATCAGTTCTATGTTTAGCAAACATGCAGTTATACTATTTGAGTATAAGATATTAATTAGTACATCAAATCTTGCATTGCAATGCTAGTTATGATGGGATGTCAAAATTCAATGAATGCACAGATTGATATGGGTATAGGAGTGAAGGCACAGATGTTATGGTAGGGGCTTTTCATATTGGTAATAATGGAAAGTGCATGTGTGAGACAGTCTTCCAATACCTTGCACTAGCCCATCACACAGACGCACGCACAATAGCCATTGGTGGCACTGTAATTAACGAGCCTGCACAGGTAAGTTTTGTGTCTACCTCACTTTTTTGACACAGTGCCACCTTTCATTTGTTAATCAGTGCATATGCTGCCTGTTTCTTTTCTTGTGTGTTCATGTTTGCACACTTCACTTTCTTCCACAACAAATGGCCGTAACCACATCGTGTGAAATTAGAAAAAAAGAACTTGCACCAATGACACAGTGAGACTTGAACCCGGGTCGACTGGGTGTCAGCACAATATTCTACCACTGAGTTACACCAGTGCTTGTAACTTGTTGTTAAACTTGCTTTAGGCAGGCATGACCTAGCACCAATGACAGAGTGGGGCTCGAACACAGTCCGCTGGGTACCATCCGAGTATTCTACCACTGAGCTACTCCCTAGCTCGTGACTTGTTGTCAAACTTGCCTTAGGCAGGCTCGATGATGAAAAAACAATCGTGTTAATACGACTTATTAAGCGTTTTACAACAGCGAAAGAACAACCAGTTGTCTCACAATGCAATTAGCATACCGAGTGGGCCGTCCAATGCTCCAGCCCATTACAAAAGCTTTTTCTTGTTTCCCTATTAACTGTGGCGCATACCCACTTCAGCCGTAATTCCTCATTGTCATCAGCCACTGCATGGACAACTGGCACAAAATTCCTAGCAAGTGTTTTGCGGATACCACCTTTCTCAGAAGAATGACGAAAAATAGCATAGGGAATGCCGGCCTACTACCCAAAAGTTCATTATTAATGCCCTAGTGGGTACCAAGCAAGTGTGCTTGCAGTAGTTACCCAATGAGTGTTTTGAAAAGGCTCTGAAAGGCCGCTCTTCTAGTTTTCTTTCGCTGTGACTGTGCTGCGCCTACAGCGCAGGCCTGGCATTTTTTTCTCCCCCAGGATGAGACTAGACTGTTTTTTAATCTCCTCAAGGTATTAAAGTTGCAAGCAAGGATAAAGTGTGCATGTAATTTCTGTCACAATAATGCAGTACGACCATTCTCTGCAAGATTGCGCTTATGTGTTAGGGCACATTAATAATGTCAGAGTTATGTAACCTTGAGAACCGGATAGATCTAAAGTGTACAAGAACGTGCTGTTTGCACACACTTTATTAATTTTTAAAGCATTGACTGCTGTGTGTTCAGTAAAGAGGCACTATACGAAAGCCACAACACCTCATTCGATGAAGTGGTTGACACTCTGAAAAAATGCAGGCCTGAAACATAGTCGTTGCTATTGCTGTTCAAAGTTTACAGTGAGTAATCTGCAGTAGCTTGCGTACTTTTAGAACAGCGTTATTACGTGCCATTGGCATCATTCCACAAGATTTGCAAGATTCATAGATTTGATTGAGTGCCAGATGAAAAGCTTCACTAACACTAACTACTAGAGCAACAGTACAAAACTCACACAGAGCCTCGGACAAAACTGATGAATAAAACATGCTTTTGCCCACTCAGCAATAAAATTGGTAGTATTTCCCAAGAACACCTGCACTGATACCATAGATTCACCTTTCCAGTAGTTGTTGCAATGTGTGTTTTGTTTTTCCGCACACTAACTTTTCAAATTGACCTATGAAGCTGATGAAGGTGGTGTTAAAAAAGTCTCCTCCCCCACAACTGGCACATGACAAAGAAACGGTAAAGTAAATACATTTTTTTCTTGGCCTGGGGTTTGAACCCTAATGACCCCAATATAAAATCGAGTGCCACTGGATTACTTTGCAATGCGTCTCTGCTTGGAACATGTGAACTGAACTGAAGCACGTAAATGTGTTCTACCAATGATGCAAATACAATGGGGAAGCAGAATGCTGCCTATAGCCACTTAATTAAAATATTTTGTGTTGGCGGACTAAAAGCGATCAGCTAGAAAACACATAAGCTCGACATTAGGAATTGCAAATTTCAGTACAATTCAGACTTCGAGGAAATTGAACTCCTAACCCTCACTTCCATGATCACGTGGTAGTCCTTTCGTAAGGCCCTTCTACAGGCTGATGAACACTGAAAAGAACATGAAAGACGCCATGACGATTCAGCTTGACAACAGTATTTTGAGAATGGCCATTACCTATAATAAAACTGGACCCTTATGTTACAAGAGAGCATAGTGCGATGTGAAGGAAAGGAAGAAAGAAAACAGTAGTTCAGGCATGCCAACACCAAACTTTACTTTCCAGTGATTTCACCAACATGAAAAAAGCTCACGACTTTTTTTTTTTTTTTCAGTGATAAAAGTGCAAGGATTAAAATAGGCGACTTAGAAGGAGTAAGCAAATATTTGAAACTCCTGTAAAAAGTACAACAGCGTCTAGCTCGATCCAGTCAAACAGTCGATATTGCTTGCAAGTATAAAATATTTAAATTAGTCACGACATCATCAACTGTGCATGACAAAACTTAAGTAAAATAATTAAACATGACAACATTTATTGCACTAATGCTGATCATATATATGTGTAAGAAAACAACAGTTAGGTATAACATAAAAAAGGCAGATGAGGCCCCAGCCAGATGACCAAGGCACACCAACTCACTGCTTAGTGATTTAACAAATAAGTTCACTCGAACTTTAATAACATTCTCTAATAGCTATGATCACTATAAGTTTATCTTATGACATCTGTATTGGAAATGTGCCGATTCATGCAGGCTTCTGTGCATCCGCCTGTGAGGAGGAATCGATCACTGGCACGCGTTTCTTGTCAAGGCCTTCATTAACACAAAAATATCTTACTGCTACAATGTCCTTCAGCAGGTACACTTTTTAATTGAAACGAGTCTTGCAGAGCTCCAGCTTACCCTGCCAATTTTCATGAAGCAACTTATCCTGCTCCATAAAGCGACTCTTGAGCTGATTCCACCTGAACTTTTTCATTGGATTTGACTGCAAGCTTAAGGCATTCAGGGTGTTTCATGTAACTAGAATCAAATGTTAAAAAAATATATTGTTAATGATCACTGAATGCTATGAATGGAACCAATGGCATGTGGCCTGCCATCATATGGTGCTCCTTGGGGTATCTTTATTGGGCTGAATTGGTTCAATAACTGAGATGAAATATGCAAAATTTTAATACTCACTGAATGACAAAGCATGTTTCATTAGGTTGTAGAAAGCATTCCAAGATGACTGATTCAATGTTTTGTAGCAGCATGCTGATTTTTTCTGTTGTTCAAAGAAGGTTGGCGAAATATGAAAAAAAAAAAATTGGGGGATCCATGAGCCTCACCTTGAAGAGCTGAATGCGATAGTGATATCCTGTCCCTAGTGCATACATTAACCATTCAGTGCATACTTTTTATTGTATGATGTTAGTCGAGAATTTTTAAATTGTGTATCACTATAAAGTAAGTGATAAAGTCGAAAGTGGCTTGCGTCAATGAAGCTTTCCCATATGGCTGTATTCTGTGATGAATTGTTTGCTTTAAACCATGAGCAATTATGTACTTGAAATCTTTTCGACCTTGCTATGCACCCACTACGTGGTCGTAAGGAAATACATGCAATAACGTGTGTGCCTTTTGAAATGGGTGGCTGGCTTCAAGGCACGAATTTGTTATGATAATCTCATAATCTGGACCCCGACAACAGTGTGTGCTTGTACCACGCAATATTACTGTGATTACACATGTTGTATTATGAAGCCTGTATTCAGGACACTTGTCTGTGAAGCATGGCCGCTATTTTCATTGCATTTAAAAGCAGAGGAAGTTAGTTTAACTGCATTTCTAAGCATACACGTGGCTCTATAGTAGAACACCTGCTTGCTATGCAAATGACCGAGGTCCTCACTATGACGCAGACATTACTAACATTGATTTTATTTGCATCTTTCTTGATTTTTCAGTCACACACTAGATGATTTTTCACTTACAACCAACAACAGCCCAGCCGACACTAGAATTCCTGCTAAACAAGCACTTTTATGCTGTCGCATGAAAACCATGTGACTGTGCTCAAGCACTATCTGACTGCACCATTATCAACCACGCTTCCACCGATACAACTGGTGCGCGGACTGTCAACAATACTTTCTTACCACCTGTAGCCATCAAACATGCTGAAGCACTGGGAAGTTGATGCCTATATCCAAAGCAACTCATTTCACCATAGTACGTATGTGGGTTGTTTTGCTGGAAGCATGTTTAAGAGTGCTGCAGTACTGTAGCATGCTAGTCCAGTTACATGGTTTTATTGCATATTTACACGGTTTCTTTCAACTCCAGAAAAATTCATAACGCAGCGTGCACATTGTCACAAAAAATTTGAACAGTTGTTTTCGGATGCCCTCAACAATGTAACAAAACGCACTAGACCCTTAAGTAAATATTAAACATTTTGCATAACTGGTCTTAGTAAATTAACAAATTAGGCACAATATAAAAATATCCTAAGAAGTTCCACATGATGGCAATCCATGTGTAGTTGGTTTAATTCAGCCATGGTTAATCATTTCTTTTTTAAACTAGGTTTTAGAGATGCGGAACATTCTGTATATCTGTGTGTTGCCGTAATAAACACCACTTGGAAGTCTGCACTGTTCGTTGTCACCTTTTTGTCTACTGCGTACATTTTGCAGGCTAAATTTTTAAAATATGGAATTCAAATTAGCCCACCCATGCTTCAGTATCTTTCACTAGAACACTTGACTCGTGCACTCACTTCGTCCATGAAACAACCTGCTCTGAAATGAATAGAATATTAATAGTAATGTCTGGAGTTCTACGTCCTAAAACCACAGTATGATTATGAGAGATGCCGTAGTGGAGGGCTCTGAAAATTTTGACCATTCGGTATTCTCTTATGTTCACTAACATCTCACAACACACAGGCTTCTAGTATTTCGCCATTCCCGAAATGTAACCACCAAATGTAGTCGAGATTACACTGCTTAAGTGTTACATCAATCAAACACATAGTTCTTATTCTTTACAAAAGTGAACCGCTTTTTTTTTTTCTGTTCGCTGTAACCATAGGCGTGAGCAGGGCACTACATAAGAGGACAGAAAGTTTCACAGCAGTGACCCCCCCCCGGTCGAGTCTGAAAGAAAATTAGCTCCATAATGGATGCAAAAATGAAAATTAGACATTGATGTGATGATGTGCTTCTCACAAAATCCTGACATTGGTCCACGACCTTCCGGGATAAAGGTGGACAGTTCTCCAGGGTCCATGGCCACCATTATCTTCAAGAAACATGTAGCCATAAGCCTGCATATTGAAAAATGTTGTGGAAAATCGTTCTGAGTAAAGGTATGGTGCAGAATTAGAAAGGTCCTGTCCCCACCCTCCCCCTATGCACACCTATGCCTGCAACTACTTTCATACCAGAACACCAGACCTGCATGGAAGACGTAGCACAGTCGCAGCATAAGCTGAATGAGAGGCCTTATAGACATCTTGTGAATTTCCTTAGGGCCTCTCTAGTGCAAATAAAGTTGCACAGTATCCAATAACTAGGTGACGGCAACCCTTTTAGGCAGAGGGCCACTTTGCTGAAGACATCTCAAACAGGGTGGGGGGTGATGGCAAAGAGAAAGAATTCAGCGTATCAGCAATACTGTACAAATTTAAAATAGAATCATGTTTCCTTTCGACATGCATGTGCCAAGGTAGTATTTTACAAACATGGGTTACAAGCGCAAACCCTATTTGAGGTCGAAAATGTCATGTAGTCCTCAGATAGGAAGTGACAAGGGGCGGGGTGGTATTTTGGCGTCATGCCAGGGGCCGCATGATGCAGACCCTACAATGCGCCTTATTAATCATGATATTGCACTATCATGAAGTAGATACTACTCATGTGTAATGCCATATGTGCACTTGATAGCAGCACACTTCGTTGATGTTGTGGCTGGTGACGATTGTCACGAGCCATGACTGATCGCTCTGTAACAAGTGGACAGCTTTAAACCACTCACCCATAATGCAATCAGCATAGTGTGATATCTGGCAAGACTCCACGCTTCAGCCATGTCATATTACATCTCCACAAACGCATGGGTGTTAGAAAAAGGGGCACTTTCCTTCCCCTATTTCAAGTTATACCAGCCCTCTCCTTCTCCTTCAGTGGCAATGCAACAAAGGTTGGACATTCAAAGTGCCGACGTAGCTCTGTGATAGTGTACTCGAATGCCACATCTGGTTTCGCTAGCAATTTAAACACTCATATTCTGTCAGTTATCATGCTAACAGCTGTGACTGACACTGGTGGTGGTGGTGGCAGAAATCGCCACCAAAACCGGCACTTGTTCTGAGCTCATAAAAGCTTACACAGCATAAAGCACAGCTGAATGGAAAAATGTGCATTATCTTGGCACTTCTGAATGATGCTGCAATGTCACCACTGAACCGCATCACTTTTAGTACAAGCCTTTTGACAAAAGAAAGGTAATATCAATAAAGTACCTAGCCAATGCTAACATGATTGTAGGCGCTATAAGAAGTCATCGGAATTATCCATTCACTACAGTAAGCCTGTCCCAGAGAAAAAAAATGAACACAATGCACAGTGATGTCATGTACAGTAGTTCTTCATAATTGTATTCAAAATCAGGCATTACACAGACTGTTTCACAACAGACCGAAATCGCGAGCATCTTTAGTACCTCTTTTAATGCTAACAAACCCAGTTCATAGTGTCACAGCAGCTTATCTGCACAGACTTGTAAACAAGCAGGCCTGCATGTCTCTGAAATGCTCAAACGAAAAAAAACATTATAGCTCAGCCAAACTAGTGAACCTGAGTAGCTCCATGAACGTTTAATGATCTCAATTGGCTATTTATGGCAGTGACCCATATACCCTCTGCCTCACACCAGGCTAAAAAAATGAAATGTAATGGCAAGCGTGTGTCTATGGCCATACTTAGACAGTCTAAAAATCAAGTGGCTCAAGCAACATGAGTACAAAAACCAAAACAGATACTTCGATTGTGCGGAATGTAGCATGCACAGCATGGATGCACAAATAAACAACGAAATTAAGTTATATGCGTGTTTCGATCATTTCGATGTGCCTGCAAGTATTAATGCAACATGTAACATGCCTTGAACAGCGTTTGAAATACTAAGTTGCGAGAACATTTGACCATAAACAACAAAATTCAACACAGATGAGCTGCATTAAAGTTTCGAAGTTCGCAATTTCACGCGAGAGAAAAAAAATATATCGACCTAAGTAACAAACACTCATGTGTAAGCACTGCACCGGTATGCAGTCTAGGCACTACAACACCGTTTTCAGGTGGCCCACGAAAGGCTTTCAATCCTCGCTGTAAATGTCAAACAGTTTCGCGAGGTCCGTGAAGTCCTCGTACGCTTTGTGCTCATTTATAATCTTGCGCGCCACCGACATCCTGTTGAAGATATTCCACAGGACGATGCCCACGACTACCCCATCGTCTCGGAGGTAGAACACTACTCCCTTGTCGTAATCGTCGCCGCTGTCCGGAGACCGGGGCAAGTCGTCGCGGTTGGCGCTCACAGTAGTCGCGACCGGCGTAGCCTCCTCGTTCTCCGATTCCGTGGGGCGCGCGAACACGCCGACCGTCTGCAGGTGCGACTCGACGATGCCGATCGCCTCGTAGCCCACCTCGGGCCCCAGGTCCGACCAGAACATCGACTGGTGCTTGTAGGGTTTGCGCGCCCCCGTCATGTTCTCGCCGGCAAGACGGCCCGTCACAACGGCATGGTCGTGGTGCTCGATACGTCGCCTCCCCAACTTGGTGTCGTAAAAGGACAGCGCGTCGCCCGCAACCCAGAGGTTCGAGCGGGCCTCCAGCTCGGCGTTCGCCTTGAAACCTCCGATCTTGTCGTCGACCTCGAGGCCCGACGCCTTCGCCAGGTCGGTGCTGGGCTCCAGACCAACGGCTACGACGACGTGGTCCGCTGCGATCTCTTGGCCTGAGCTAAGCTTTAGCAGCACTTGACCACGCGGGCCCGGCCTTGCGTCGGTGATTCGAGCGCTGCTAATCACCTGGACGCCCTCGTCACGCACTTATCCGTAGTCCAGCGAGACAGGTACTCCGGAAGCACGCGACCCATGCAGCCTTTCTCGGAGAACACCTGGTAAACGGTGAGACCCGTCTTCATGCCGCGCCTACCGAGAGCGCAGGCCAGTTCACTGCCCAGGAAGCCACCGCCAACGATCACCACCGATTTGGCACGTCGAGACAGCTCGTCTAACGCCTTGAAGTCGTCCACGGTTCGGTACAACGTTATCTTACCGGACAGTTCGGGTTTCTCGAACACGGGCAGGTTTTTGGGCTGGCCGCCAGTGGCGATGAGGCACTTTTCGTAGCGAATCTCGCGGCCGTCCTCCAGAATCGCCTTCTGGGCCTCGGAGTCGATGCGAACGACGCGACAGTTGCTGACGACAGCGATGCCTCCAGTCTCGCGCTCCATCAACTGGTCAGGGTGGCAGTAGAAGTCCTCGTGCTCGAAAAATATGCTGCGCTCGCGGCCGTTCCACTGCTTGAAGCTAAGCGTCTTGCGCGACTCGTCGGACAGCCACAGTTCCTTCGAGAGGGGCGGCCTCATGTACGGCTTGTAAGGTTCTTCCCCGATCGCGAGCACTTTCGCCGTTGGGTCGGCGGCGCGAATCGCCCGGAATGCGGAGAACGACGCCGTGCCGGTACCGACGAGCAGATACGGAACAGACTCCGGCAGCTTCGTATTTGAAGACGGTTGTACTTTTGAGCCAGCGTGCGATTTCGACGTAGTTGCGGCGGTTTTCTTGTCGTCCGGATTTTTCATGGGCGGTGCGTCGACGTAATCGAGCGAGCCCGAATACCAAGCGTACGCGGCCGTGCTTGTAAAAAACGCGATTCCAACGATCAGTCGCCGATTGAACCCCGCTGCGTCTCAGCGAACTTCTCCTGCCAAGGTCCTATAAAACCGGGTATATCATCCATAGTGATCTGTTTGTGTACCACCGACTTGTTGCCGCCGTGCGGACCACTCCCGTAGCGCCGGCATCCTGGCTGTTTCAAGGAACAGTTTCTCCCTGTGCGTACGCCGGCGAGCGCACGAAAGAGGGCGGAATATTTTCGGGGATCAGAAATGAATTGTCTAGACAACATTTTCGTAAGAAAAGCTGAAAACACCGAAGGCGTGCTTTTCACACTTGCACACCCATCATTGCCACCATCTTGTATTTAACATAGCGATAGCGTTGCCCGACTGTGTGTACATTTGCCGCCGAACCGGCTGAACTTCTGCGCCGTTTTCTCATATAGTTGAATAACTCTGCCGTTTTCTAAAATTTTCGCCGCCAATGTGAGGAGAATGATAATTAAAAGGCCTCTCTTTACTGGAGGTTTTTTACTTGTTACCCAAGATCCGATTTAGTACACCAAGATCTATATTTTTCAGTGACTTAAATAATGAGCTCAATACCTCTATTTTTCCTATCTTCTCTGCGACTTCTTTCTCAGAAAACTGTAGCTTCTGAAACTACCATTTTGCATATATTCATAGTATATTCATATATTTATTTTTGAATAGCGAATTTTTGTGTGAATAAGACAAACTTAGTTTCCCCAGTGGCGGTTTTAATTGCCATAAATGGATAAGTAATTATTGAGCTCACGCACCACGAACGCTTGGATATAATTAACAACTATGCATTTCCAGCGTTATGTTTTCGTGCACTGCAAGCGGTAAATTTAAATGTGGACTTAAAGTGTACGTTTATCACACCCACACACGATTACCAGCATGAAACATGTACTCGTGTGACCTCAAAGATCTTGAACGCATGTGCTTCAAGGCCTCGGAGACCTACAATGGCAACGTCACCCTGTTAAACCTTTTTAAATATAAAATTTAAAAAGAAACAAACAAGGAAAAAAACAGAAAAAGTTTATTGTACACGGTTTGAGTTTTTTAAAAGTTGGTTTGATGGCGGCACTGTTCTTTGTTATTAAACTTTGAAGTCAGTTTGTTGCTTAAGCCTGCAGATAAAAGTCCTCTGAGGCTAACATTTGCTGTGTGTGTGTGTGTGTCCGATACAATGGTGTTTGATACAATACTACACTACTGTTTAGGCGAGGACGCAATCAGATTGATGAAGTGACAACAGTAACAGCCAAGTACTCTAGTAGCAGCGCTGACCACAGCAGACATCTATCGGCGGGACGACACAACTTTGAAAAGACGTCGCCGGGGCAACCGGTGCTTCGCGGGAAATATGAAGTGCGTGTCGCCTGTTTTTGTGAGCGAGAAACCTTACGTGCGGCGAGAACGCAGGCGTTGCAGTTAGTTAAAAGAGTCCTTGCACAGACAAAGTAAAACTCGCTAGCTCATTCACTCTTCGCCAAAGTGTTTCTTCTAAAAGTGCCACATACGTGGCAAGCCAGCACTAACCGAAATGAGTAACACACGCTCTCGTTTTCTTAAAGTGTGCGTATTACATATTGTGACACATTTATTAGAAATTATATTTCTTACACACATTTCAGGCATTCTCTATCTGATTGCTTTTGCTGCATAAGAGAATGTAAGGCTCCCGCTATTAAAAAAAATTACTAAAGCATACAACAAATCTACTTTTTTTTTTTTTCGTGCCCATACCTAATGCTTGATCTAGCATGCTGTTGGCTGTGCAAGAAACTCAGAAATGAGCACGGCGATGCAAGATTTAACTCCCACAGCAGTGCCTACAATAATAAAAAAACGAGAATAAAATGATTTACCGGAAGCATGAAGGCGAGATATTTTGCTCTGAATGCCGCGAGTAGCGGGGCGCAATGCGTCAACAAAAAATGTCAATCCAATGCCAGACGAGAGAGTATCTTGCCATCTTAGAGGTAACACTGATCAACTAATAGATTGACTAATTAACCAGTTTCATTATCCTAACAGGTTCACATAATTATACACGTATAAAATCTGATTATTGCTCTATTCTGAGAAAAAAATCGTTTATGTAAATATTTTATGCATTACATATAGCACCACACTTTCCTAGGCTATCGGTAATCTTTCTGTTAAACCTCCATCATTTCAAATATGAACAGTAAATGTTGAAACCACTCGGTTCTTGGCCAATCCCCCACAGTGGGTATGCGCCACTAACAGTTGGAGAACAACAACAACAACCATGCGCTCTCTCCCCTTTTCGTACTGAGTTTTTTTTCGCTCTGTTTTATTTAGCACTCCGTCACTGCATTCGTCAAAACCGTGCATCGAGAAAAGTAGAATTAATTACTGTATATGCTACCTTTAGCATATGCAGTAACTCTATAGAAGAGTTGCTTATGGTTCCATCTGGGAGCGTGTGGACACTATGCTATATACTTTTCATACAATTATCGGCGAAAGCTACACGCATGGCTAGAATCTCAGCAAAGATTGTGCAAGAGGGATTTGTCCTTTTGCCACACACCAACAGTCGTCTTGTGGAAAGCTTGCGTTTTCTTTCTTGAAATTGCGCAACTCGTCACTTTGCAATGACCAGTGCCATGTCACCGATAGCGCGCACGTCAATCACAGCCTCGAACTACCGGGCGCGGAAGGAAATACACGTAATATAGAGTATTATTACAGAGCTAAATGCTGATTATTTTTGGGGACAAATAGATACCCGTTCTTACGCGCCTTTTCATTTAGAGCGCAGATATGTATAACGTTGTGGCCGTGAGACTGTCGCAATCGCTCGATACCCACCGACTAGTTTTTTCATACAGATGCCGCTGCAGCCGCTCCCGGGGAAGATGCCGTCGCTGCCTATCCATACCGGTGCCTGGTAAGTTGGTCGACGAACATCGCTTGAACACTCGGCCTTGCATGTGCAGACCGCTTACTGGCTTACTTGCCTGCCTTAGCGAGCCTCCTGAATCTTGTGCCACAATTTCTGGGCAGCTGTCATGTCACCCGTCATTTGACATGGGGTGATGGTATACCTGTTTTACACCACCTTCTCAAGAACGCAAGCATTTAGATGAAACACTGGACCAGCACCTTGCAACAATCGGTCGACGCTCACCAACAGGTTTTCTATAGGTCATTTTTGACCAACTTAGTGTCGCGATGAGGTTTCATGTGGCGGTATTGAGGCCAGCTAATTTTTTGAAATTATTGCATTTCTCTTATTTATGTCCTGCATTTCATGCTCCAAGGCTAGGATGTGCGGGAAAATTTTGGACCTATGATGAAGGCTCGAGAAGTTAGATGGTGTGACCGATTCTATTAAGCGCCTTGATTCCAAGAACGCGAGTCCTCTGGATCGAGTAAAGAGGGTTCTTAAATCTTCACGCAGCGCTCAACGCAGACCTGGGAGGTCTGACTTAACTAGTACTGGAATTAGAAACAAATCTAACCAACACAACCAGCTGATGTCTCAGGGCATCGTCAACGTGGAATTTGTAATATCGTTAGCAAAACTTAAGTTCTACAAATGCGATCGCCAAGGCTAAATGTTTTGCTCTAAGCTTTTATTGAGGCCATTGAATTCGAGAGCTGGGAAAGTTTAGAGTGACTCGTGCACATATTCTGTCGGGATGAGTTTGATGTCACTGTGACTAGAAATGCTAGAGCACGCCGAGTGTGCCGTTTTTTGACGTACAAGAATCATTTAATTGCAGGCAAGTTCTCTATAGATAAATACGAGGTTCTTGTTGTTGTTTGTTTTCGCATGCAGCACTTCAATCTCTTCGTAGCCTCAATAATACAAAAAAAAAAAAAACAGCACGTGTGTGTGAGCCGTCAAGCAGTGAATACATGTATTACTGTAGACCTGCAGGTCTCCCGTAATAACGACTGCCGTATTTTTCATAAGGAATATATTTCGCTGATAGAAAGAACTCTTCGTTATATCTGATCGCAAGACCTGCCAGTATACACCAACCAATAATTCTGGTGCGTTATCAATCCTACTCCCCATCTTCATATGTCCTATAGCTACGGTGATCCTATAGCTAATACTGACGGACAATCTGTCTATGAAGCTGAGTGTCCGCGACTCCTTAACGATGAAGTTTGAATTTGTTTATTTAACTTTGAAAAGTTATTCCGTAGCATTAGGTAAGTGCTATAGAATTACTAAACGAGGCTAGGCTCCACAATGTAGCGGTCGCTCCAAGCATGGCGTTATGTATGACTTTTGGTTCTATATAGTAACGAGTAATATAGACTTCTGCTGGAATATGCGTGTATATATATCTATAGTCTGGGTTGACCAAGGCTAACGAAGGAGACTGGGCCTCCTTGTTTGTGCAGTAAACTCTGCATGCGTGAGGAGCGCGTAAAAAGCCCCGAGAAACGACAAATATGGCTGTCCTGAGCTTTAGATATGTCCTAAGAAGGTAATATGCTAAACCAACCTGTGTGCTTAGATTTAGGTGCGCGTTGAAGCACCCCAGGTGGGCGAAAACTGCAGAGCTGTCAACTACGGCTTGTCGCATGATCTTGTCATAGATTTGGGACGTAAAACCACAACGATTCTTATGTTATCATGAAGATGCGTATAGTCGCATGACAAAAAAAAAATGCAGTTTTGCACGGCCAACACAACCTAGACTAGAGCCCGGGTGGTTTGAGCCAGTGGAGGCGCCAAGTTTTTTTTTTTTTTTTTATGGGTGTGTGTTGTTTGGGGTGGGAATGCACCGACGACCATTGTGTTCCTCCAGGGGGAAGGGGGGCAGGGAGGCAAAGAACTTATGCGTTGCGTTTTAAGTATACTTGCATCGGGGGGAGGGGAAAAAGGGGGAGCAGGCGAGATTTTTGAGGGGGGGGGGGGGGCTCTAGTTTACCTGTGTCCCCTGGTGCTCTGGTGTGTCCCCCGGTGTAGTGACCCCGACAAAATCGCTTGCCCCAGTGGCTCATATATCCCATTATAAAGTAATTTTACCAAAGAGAAATTGTTGACGCTGTTCCTGCTCTATTAGGAATTGCTGTATTAGCGTGCAAATTGAGCTCGGTACCGGGGCGACAACGAAGTGGGTCACCGTGCTGTGAACAGAGGCCTACTGCCGGTCTGGGCACGTGCATAATGGATTCGAGCTTGGCGGCGCAGGCTGCTTTTCTCTCTCCATTGTTTGCTCCTGTGCGAACTTCGCGTGGCACGATCATTAGTATAGGGACGGTGCTATTCTCCCTGGCGTCTACGGAGAGACAGCCCTAGCAGGGGTTGGTGATCGCCAGAGATTCTTAGAGAGAGGAGGAGAGATTATATAAGGACAAACGTCGCGACATCAACGGGAACGAGAATTCGCGTTGATGCGTCATTGATTTGCATCGATAATGTGAAATCACGTGGCGTCACCCTGCACTGCATGATTAGAGCACCCCCCTGCCCACACACACACACACCCACACAAACATATAGGAAGAAAAGAGCTAGAGTGGCAGAAAAGAGTCACACTGAGTCTCGAAGACTACTCGAAGGCCATAGCCATCTTATGCTTTTTTTTTTTTTTTGAAGTCGATTCTTCTGAACACCCTTCTCTCCCTTCTCCTCACAAGCTTTCTGTGCCGAAAGCCGTTTTGCACTTCCTCATAGATTGGAGGCACCGCAAAATTTCTGCACTTCACGATGACTTCGCAGTGACTCCGCGAATGGTCCTACCTTTGACCAAGCGACCATGCCACCTGATGTTGTCGTGTGCCGTCATGCCATTTGGCGTCGTGATGATGTCATGCGTTTTGGCGACCTGTAACGTCATGATGCCGTAATATGGTGAGGTCATTACATGATGGAGATTTTTTTTTTTCGTCACTCCTGATAACGCCACCTCCGGCGATGCCGAATGTCAATTTTAGCGAGTTATAAGGCAGTTGAGTTGTCGCCTAAAAAGCTGAGCTGAGCTGTCGCAGTTGAGCTGTCGCCTCTTTTCGAGTATGGCGTCGGATGGCTTCGACCAACATTGCTGCCATCCGCCTTATCCTAATTGAAACTACGTGCGGAAGGTAGTGCAAATGCTTCTAACGCGTTAATACTAGTGCACCCCACTAAACTCAAATTCACTACGCTGCACTTCTGTTGATTCACAAAACAGCACCATTGCAGACCCCGAGCCGCGTGAGATAAAATAAAGAGCATGTTTTTCGCACACGCCAGCTTCAGCTCATCCATACTGCAAAAATTGAAGTAGCCAGCAGCATTACATATCGTCGAATAAAAGCAGGCACACGGCGATATTTACAAAACTGAATAGAAGTGCTGGACCAATGCACTTGTGAACAGTTCGATGACCAAGGTGCATTAGATGCGGAATTCACGACGTCACTCACATGCTGTACGCTTTGACAACAATGGCCCGTAACGGGGTTATAAAAATGCCTTGCATTAACTAATAGAATATGTTACGTGACACTACGTCAAGCATATAGATGACCAGAGACTATCGAAACCATGAGAGGAAGCGGCGGAGGGCAGGAGGGGGATTTAAACGTCTGTGGGTTTAGCTTCAGAAGTGGGTTGGTTCTCTTTGTTCCTTAGAGGTGACCTCCTTCTAATATATAGGCCTCTCTTTTATTCTAAAGAAAGTTTGTGCAAGCGAAATAAGGCCTGTTTTTTTGAGCCCGTTACTGACGATGCTCATCCGAAGATTTTGCCAATGACCTCACATCGTCACGCTTCGTGAGAGGACCTTATCGGGCACCGACAACGGAGTTCCCTACACTACTGCAATCGCTTAGATATACCAAGCGAGAGCCGGGTACTGGTTACCGCACTTGCCTTGTTCCTCTGCTATCGCGTTCAGATTAAGGGCCTTCACCATTTAACGTATATTTCGCTTTCCTATCTCACCTTCTCCATTTCCCATAAGCCACGCGGTCAAATCTTCAAACTTCCACGTCATTCCTTCTCACCACTCGCTTTTTCGGGAATCAGACACCGTGTGGAGCTCAAGAGATGTCTCATCAAACGTCGAAAAGGCGGTGCCGTTCCGACATTGATGATGTGCCAGACGACATCCGTCTTCTCCGTTGGTTTCAACACATAGCACCCCGCCACATGCGCGGGCCGGAGCACCAATGGCGACCGAGGACGAGGCTGTCCTGACTTCCCTTTATTTTTCGTTCAGTTTTTCTAGCTTACGGAGAACCGCCTTCGCTCACTCTGCGCCACCTACCTCGTCGCGTCGCGGAGTGTTGGTAAACACCACTTCACGTGCAAGACTTCAGCTGGTTGCTAGAGTTCACTTTTGCCAATAGGCGACGCCGAATATCGGCGCGCGAACTTGTGACGTCGTAGTGAATGGGCTATTTTTAGAGCGGTCGAAGCTCCCGTTGCCGAGGCCTCCGCGGCAACGCACGCGGCATCGCGAAAGAAGCCGTGCCCCGGCGGCAACTGCCAGGAAGCGTCAACCACATTTGTGGCGGACATGGAGCTGATGGCTGCTTTGACACCCGTATGGATTATCTTGGCGGTGACGCCCGGCGTCCTCCTGTATCTGTAAGTGCTGACTACATTTAATTCTAATTAGATGAGTAAGAGATATCGTCAGCAGACGAATAATCTTTGACATCGGAGAGAGCCACTTTAAGAGAAAGAGAGTAAGTGATAATCACAGTGATACTTCTGTGGCGTTGCGCAACAAATACTATGAATCGTAGATTTGACGTTCAATGTGCATTCTGGCAATACGTGTTTTTTGTGGATATCATGGGCAGTGTGCGTGTGCATGCTGGTTGTATTGTATACATATGTAGGAAAGTTTCATCACAGCATAGTTGCGAGTTAGCGCTTGTTCTGTGCTGGGTGTACTTTTTTTGCTATGTCTAGTACCGAATTCGAGCTCTGCAGTCTATCTTTAACACTTCATTTTGTATGTGCGGTAGCAGCAACAGTGATCCTCGTTCCAGAATGTCGTTTGTGTGATTCCTCAGCGCTGCGCTTACAAAAGTCTGCACTCTTAGAAAAAAAAGTTAATAATCAGTTAGTAAACACGTGTGTTTACTAGTTTCTGGAGCATCTTACTATATATCTTCGCGGCGTACTTTTACCAGCTACCAGCTAGTACAGCTAGTAAGTTTAGCCGTTACTAACCAGGGAACCTTTCTTAGGGTTTTTAACTAAACAGTTACTGAGCCACCTACGTTGCCACATCTTTCGTAGATGTCGCAGTACATTTTGCCGTAATGGTGACATCGTAAGAGAAATTTAGGCAAGCTCTTATTTTATTGACTATCTTGGAATAGAAGCTTCGTGCTACGCAATGGCACACACATAAGCGAATAAAAGGCGACATGATGATGCGTAGAAAACAACAATTATCTTATCAATTCTGTGGCTGCTAACCAGTACGCGGTGTGTGATCTCAAAGCAGAGGTATATAGCCTTCAAGCTACAGTAGAAATTTGCTATGTCCAAGTCATGAAGATTTATTTGCGCACGCGTTTGCATGTGCGTTCTCGTGAGTTGTTCATATGAATTCTCAAATGAGCATATAATCATGTGAGTATGAGAATTAATATGAGCATATCACATGCTCATATGAGTCCATATGAGCATACGGCATTCACATATGTATGATCATATGTCAATCTGATTTGATCATATGATCATGGGGTCAATTCTTTATAAGTCTTTGTGATGCGCACATACCACAGTATAGTTACATGGCGTAGTTAGAAGACATTGATTTACGAGGGCCATGTCAATTTGTTTTTTTTTATCCCGAACTTTTGTAATAGAATCATTTTGATACTGCAACGCACATTTAACAAAATAGGCGTAAAGTTCTATTTGCGGGGGTTTCTAACAATTTAGCAATGTACCAATCACTCGAGTCAGCACTATTTACTTACGAAGCAGTAAATTCCATTAACCTGCATTTTACTACCTTCCCTTACTAAGAGTCTAGTGCTTTATGTGACAAGTGAATGGTTAGTATTTAGTTAGTGAATATGCCGACTTTTATTTTTAAGAGTGTACGAAGTACTGTGGCTCTGGTGAGGTAGCATTACTCAGCCACACAGCGGAGATAATTCGATTAGTGAATTTCATGCAAAAACATAAGATTATGAGGCACTGCGGATCAAGTTCGACCATCGAGGATTCATAAACTTGTTCCTCACTCTGATTGCACAAATGTTCCTTCGGGTAGTCCTGATTGAAATGTGGCCCCCACGGCCGGCTCAGAAATAGTCACACACAAGATCGAACTATAGAGCTCAATGTTTGCTCGTGATATTTTAATGTGAACACATCACTAGATAGAAATTGTAAAAAAATAAATAAAATAAAATAAAAATAAATTGTAAAATGTGGAATCGCGCGGTGGAAAGAAACGTAGTAAGTGTTTGGGCCTGACGAAACAGAACGTCGTGGTCAAGATATACCAATGAATGCAGAGGAGGAGATCGAGTTAAGTTTCGCAATGATTTTAACGAGATAGCGTTAAAGAGCTCGTGTCGCAGAAAACCTACCGCCGGCGCCGGCCCCGTTGGTTGTGAGCGAAAAATCGTCTGTGCGTCTGTGATCGAAAAATCAAGTTACCGAGATAGCCGCGGGAGGCCGCTACTTGTCCACGCGTGCGCGCGCGATCACACTGTATAAGCCGCGCATTCGAAGAAAAAAAAATGGCAGCATATCTACGGAGTGAATGATGGGGAGTGGGGCGAAGCATTCGTCCGTCCATTTGTTCTTGCTTCCGTCCGTTCCTGCGTACGCCTGTGTAACCGTCCATGCGTCCATCCACCCGTCCGTGCGTGCGTCTGTTCGTGCGTCCGTCCCTGCGTTCATCCATGCATCCGCGCCTGCGTCCGTTCATGCGTCCATCCATGCATCTGTCTGTGAGTCCGTTCGTCCATCTATTCAGCACTCCAAGTACCACCATCTCGCATCTGTTCATCATATATTCCCCATATAGAAGCACCGCCATCCAGCGGACATTTCAAGGACTAAACGGGAGGTGGCACATGCACACTTTCTTACGGCTTGCGCTTCGGGTTTACTTCCCACCTTTAACCACTTCGAGTTTATGGTATATACTAGTTCTCTGTATTCATGGCTATGCGGCCCAACGCTCGCTAAACCTTTCTAAAACCAAGAAGGTTACACCCAGCGAGTATAACGTAGCAACCCTTTCTTGTCAGATCGTGCTCAATGTACATGCCAATAGCTGCTAATGGGGATCGCAGCGTGCGCGTTAACTAAAAGCCGAATGCTCCTGTCTCTCATTCCCCTTTAGCAGCCATTAACATGTGCATTGAGCACTATCTTTTATTGTTCAACAACGCACAGAAGAAATCTCTCACCGGAACCACCTTGGAGGTCAAAATCGTAAGGACCGCTATTTGGGGTATGTGCCACTGGTGGTTACGTACTACGAGAGACGCACAAGCCACGCCATAAGGAGCTTCGCCCCTAAAAAGTGCTCAAGGTCACAAGGTGTGGTAGTTTCTTTGCTCTGCCACCCCTCCCTGCTTAGCTTCCAGCGCTTTCGTCGGGACGAGATAAGAGATGATGCAATAGCAGCATGCGACAAACCTTTGTAACTCCACTCGCACTGGACGGATTCTTCAAACTTTTTGCGGCGTTCAATTCGAGAGGCAATATTCTCTTCTAGTTAATTCATTCCATGGTTACTTGAAAAAATGTTTCAGGCCCCCTTTAACGCATTTTGTTCGACAGGTCACGACGAAAACGAGCCCATTCGGCGATAATAGTGCGCGCTGATCCAATCTACTGTATGCGTGTGTATGTAACGAAACACATGAATAAGTATGCACTTAGCGGTTGGAGAGTGCACTAGGGGCCGGATTTCGCTATCGCGTTCAACTCTTAAAGGCGAAGCTTATGGGTCGCCCAATTTTTATGTTGTGTTTCCCAATGTTTTATAACGATATTGCAAGTTGTGAGTACTACGAGACAATACGCTGATTTGATGATACTTGTTATAACGCCTACTGTCGGAATAATAACAAGAAAAATGATTGATTGATTGATTTGTGGGGTTTAACGTCCCAAAACCACCATATGATTATGAGAGACGCCATAGTGGAGGGCTTCGGAAATTTTGACCACCTGGGGCTCTTTAAAATAACAAGAAAAAAAAAAGCCCATATGACTCCACAGGTTTCGCTTCTCCCATTGGCGTCTCCCTACAACAGTTTATATTCTTAGTCGAAGCGCCTTACTTTTCACGTAATACGGAAACACTGCGTGATTGAGGTTGTAGACGCTGTTCTCGTTATTTTTATCGTTGGTTTTATCGTTTCAGATACGTGACACGGAATCGCAGCTTCTGGAAGAATCAGAACGTCCGGTCGGAGCCATATTCGCTCATACTTGGTGCCACGCTGAAGATTTTCTTGAACGTGAGTTGAAGGTCAAGACTATGAAGAAGTGATAGATAGATAGATAGATAGATAGATAATAGATAGATAGATAGATAGATAGATAGATAGATAGATAGATAGATAGATAGATAGATAGATCGTTCTATCGTGAAGTGGATCACTACTCTTGGTTACCACAGGTTATACTATCCCTTGCCTAAGAAAGGACAGAGTAATAATATAAAGGTATGACGAATAACAAGGAAAAGAGGCAGTAATGTGGGAAGTCATACATATTAGCGTCCGATCCGGCCATTCGTATGTTTTGATCTGAACATGAAAGGCGCCAATGGCATCTATATAACAATTGTGACTGCCCACGAGTAGCGCATAGTCAGATAATTTCGGGAGGGGGGGGTGGACAGTGAGAGGGTTGTTCGTTTGTTCGCGTGCCCGTACATACCTATACACACGCACAAAACTGAAAATTTTCTATTTTTCTGAGAGTTAATTCACCCCCCTCTCGGGCAACGCCAATGGACCTCGTGCTTCGGAACATTATATTAGGACAAAGCGATGAGTGACGATGCACCTACATTAAAAAAAAAAGTATAGCGTGCTCTCGTTAGCCTGCACTATCGCGACGGGAGAAAAAAAAAAAAACCTGGACATGTAGCGAAAAGCGTGGCCTTTGGCCCAGTCGAATTGTGACATGCTTTGTCTGTCACTAGGTGAATTTGTGCTTTCAGTCGACATCATCATAGCGGCAGAATCTTGCTCTGGCTGGCGCTATAGCACCACGTATGTTTTCCGAGTGCCAGGCATGACTGACAGATAATAAGCACGTGCGGTGTGATAGCGCCAGCAAGAGCATTATTCTAGCGCAACGGTGACATCGGCTGAAAGCACAAAGTCGCCTATATAGTGACAGACAAGGCATGTCACAGTTCGACTGGGCCCAAGGCCACTTTTTCCGCTACATGTTCGGGTTTCTTTTCATCGCGAAAATGCTATTAATTAGAGTAGTAGAAAAAAAAGCACAATACTTTTCGCCAGTCCACTGCAAGTTCTCTTGACGAAGTTCACATATCCGTGGCGTTGCGAACAATGCCGAGTTGGTTCGAAATAATGAAATCGAGTTCATAGTTTGCTCTAATTTGCAGCCTGTCCATGAGGTCGACCTTGCCAGGTACAAAAAGTACGGACCGCTTTTTGGGTAAGTGCTTTCTTCTTTCCTGAGCGAAATCAATGGGGGAGGAGGGGGGGGGGGCTTGTAAGGAAGGGGTTGCTGCAAGCTTTGATTTTCGTAAGATGAAATAACTTTAAATAAGACACGAAATGTAGAAATGTTTTTTTGCGCATTGACACTACTTCCTGATGTCGCGATCTTGCAGTGTCACACACAAGCGTTTTGTGTCAATAGCGAAATAAGAAGGTTCGTTGCGTAAAAGAAAATTAGAATTGAACATTTTGAATAAAGAATTTCGCTTTCGAATAGCGTTGCACATCAATTACGATAATTTGAAAGTGACAAGTAGTTTCAGCGAACGATTCCTGTGACACATATCCTAACCAAAGTCTTTCTTGTTTTCAAACCATTTCAAATATGATCAGTGCGTTCGAGATGGGTAAGGCCATTCTGTTTGTTGCGGAACCAAAGTTGGTGAAGACGGTGCTGGTGGACGACTTCTCAGCCTTGCCTGACAGAAGGGTACGTAGAGAGAGAGAGAGAGATAAGTTTATTTACAGAAAGGCAGAGAGGTCGACCTGAGCGATAGCTTGCTCTAGCCTGCTACTTTACACTAGGGGAAGGGAAAAGGGAAAAGAAAGATTAATGGATGACGATGGTGAGATAGAGAGGTGAGTATGTAGTGTTCTTTCTAGCTGAGACACATTTTATAGCCGCGCATATAGTCCAGTTGTTTCCAAAAAGGTTATAACTGCTCTTGTGACCGCAGTTGCACTGTTGGTGTCTGGCCAAGAGCCCAACACGGTCTCAACAGTTAATGACCTACTGCGATATAGTTCAGTAGAAGAAATCAGTGTTTGTCGTTCACGTGCGTATGCCGGGCAGACACAAAATATGTGCTCAAGCGTTTCTGGCACATCACAGTGTTCACAATTAGGACCCGTGTCGCTGCAACCAATGATATGTGCGTATAACGTCTGGTGTACCATAACTGTTTCCGGGAACGTTCGTTATCAGTGAAGTTCGTCGGATGCGAGGCTCAAACTTGAACGTTATATGTAATCACCCATGCAATTATCATTACAAGGATATGTAGCGTTATCATGTTTCTTCAACTTCAACCATACAGAATTCCACTAAGAAATCCATTCTGACCAGCAGTCACGAGAAGTAAAATAGAAAAACACACCCCTCTTTATTTTACAACTCAGCGCTCCTATAATAGTGTAATCGGTGCATGTCACATCGTCTATCGGTGACAACAAGGCTCTTTGTTGTAACTGAACGACAAACGAGCAAGCAAGTAAGCAAGCAAGTAAGCAAGCAAGAAAGCAAGCAATAAAGCAAGCGCACTAACCCCCGTATTCTAAAACGTCCCTTCACTCAACGCTCCACCTTCACTTGAGAAAGCCGATGGGAGCGCCGTCTCTAGTCACGATAAGTCACTGCATATCTGCAATAATCTGCTGCGATTCTTGCGTAGCGCAGCGCAATTTTCAGCCAAGCGGCGGCGCAGTGCTCCATTCTGTCAAGCGAAGGGTGAAATTCGAGTCGATCAGCGTTTGTGAATACGGAGGTAAGAATATTTGGTGAAGAAAGCCGTTTAGCGAAATCGACTCACCAGTGCACCAACTGATACATTTCGATCCAAATTGTATTTCTTACCACAAAGCCCGTGGGCTGCCAAGGCAATTGAACATCTTCAATATCAATTTTTCCATTTCAATTTATTTTTTAAGAATGCAGGAAGGTCCGAACAAAAAGCGAAAATTCACACTTAACGAACAATCGGGCTTCTTGTACAAGAAATAAAGTAATAAGACACGAACATTTTGCACGGGTTGGTGCTGCAAAATGTTCAAATTTCTCGGGTGCCTAAGGATTTTGTGACACCCTAATCAAATGAGCCAAACTGTGAGTGGAATTGAGAGGACATCGATAAGTTACAGTCGTCTAATTTTATTTGTTTCCGTCTGTTTCCCAATTAGTCATGGAGGAGCATGCACTAGTAGCCAGAGATTTTGTGACGTGTGTGTCTTCTGAAGTTCTTAGATATGAGATTGCCCTGTTCTTTGTGTAAGGGTAGCCTTGTGCAAAGAAGCTAACTTCACTACACACGGCTACCATCTTCAATGAGTTGCAGCCAATTATAAACACTGATAATAGTGAACCTTAAACCCTTATTTGCAGTCATTTAATGTATGCGATAATATAGAATGCTAATGTCTCGATTTCTTGGCATGAGACTTTCACTTTTGCCTCCTTACAGACGATTAAGATGAATGAACCGCTCTTGGATAATGTGATGAGCATGGCTCCATTCGAAGTATGGCAAAAGGTTCGCAAAGGTTCCGCACCAGCATTTTCTGCAAGTGTGCTACGAAAAGTAAGACGCAATTTTTTAACTTCACTTTATTTTCTAATTTCAGTGGATGGTCTATAGCAAAAAAAAAAAAAAAAAAAACTCTTAGCTGCCCCAATCACAATAAGTCCGTTTTAAAACGCAAGCAAAATACAGTTATGCTCTTACATAACAGCAGCTGGACTAATTCGGAAAAAAAAAATGTTGCACTTGGTATACGATGCTAAATGGGGCAATTTCAGAGAGCAAATATTGATCTGAGACTTCATGCACGTTTACAGAAGGTGCCGACCAAAACTTGCTAACTAAAATGTACAAGCAGCAAGATTTTAGGATTGCAGAGTTTCACTAAAAACAAACCCCGCAGTTCATTAACAAACAACTGCATCAGTTGAATCATCTCAAGCCCCCAAAATGGAGCCTCCTGTCCCGTTTCTGAGAAACGAATGATGTGTATAAAGGATTATACCGTACGTTATATACCTATCAACTTTGATTGCATCCCATTTTCTCCTTGGGCACACCAGTCGTCGCATCAGAGGTAGGAACCAAAGCACTTAAATTTAGAGGTTTTCACTCGCCAGTCAAGTATTATAGAGACCTTAACTTGTCCGTTCTCCACCACCGCTTTTTAACACGAAAGTGTTTAATTGTTCCATCAAGACTCGCTAACGTATCCGTCACGGAAGTAACGTTCTTAAATTGTACACGAAGAGGTGACAAAGGGAAATATAAGAAAACAATTTAGTTGATTAAGATCACGCGGGAGTCGAACCCACGACTTCTCTAGTCGCAAGGGTAAATGCATAGTGTTCTGCCCACTGCGCTATACCGACGCGCATGCGCGTCGGTATAGCGCAGTGGGCAGAACACTATGCATTTCGCAAGCTCACCTTATCTCTCTCACACATTTCGCATCTTCCTCTGATTTCGTTTGGCGGCGGTGGTGTCGTTGTCTAGGAGCGGTGAAGAGGATTGCGTCGTGACGCTGGCGAGGGCCGACAGGGAGCGCTTAGGTGGTTTCAGCGCAACGGAGGCTTTCAGTGCAATAATATATAGAAAGCTCTTAGGTCGGTGAAATGCGTTTTACGCGGTGGTTCGGTTGAGTTAAGAGGCTGTACATAATTTGCCTTTTGGGACGTGTTTGCATGGTACGCCTATTCGCTAGTGTAGCGCAGATTCCACGTGCACAATCGATGTTGCTTCCGATGGAGGCGGACATGTTGTAGGCCCGTGTGCTCAGATTTGGGTGCACGTTAAAGAACCCCAGGTGGTCGAAATTTCTGAAGCCCTCCACTACTGCGTCTCTTATAATCATATGATGGTGTTGGGACGTAAAACCCCACATATCAATCATCAGTGAATCGATGTTGCTTCGCCGCCTATCATATGTGCTGCAATATGTGGCACCGAAAGACAGGTGAATGTCACGTGGTGAGCTATTTGGTGAAGCAAGATGCACGTCAGCGGAACGCGCAATGCCTTTTCAGCGGTCACAGCTCAAAATATAAGAACTTTACTTCTTGCGTTATTGAAGCTCTATGTTGTATACACGCGTGAGCAATAGCGTACGTTACCATATTAGTGAGGAGTGCAAGCTTGGAATTGCTCTCGTCAAATGACGACACTTCGAACGAGTGCATATCGAGTATACCAGTGCTTATTACGTGCTTGTTGATGTGCCTTGCGATCTTTGTGCGGGATTCACCATATCCAGGCGTATTTAACTACTTCATTTACCACAATGGGCACATCGTGATCATGGACGGTGGTCGTCGGATAGTAGAGTGCCACTAGACGTCAACGTGGTGCATCCAAACGGCGCCATAGCAGCCAGACAGCAATAGACATTATGCAAACTCTGATGCATTCATGTACAATGAGCAATCAACTCACTCCTGCGAAGACGCGCTCCACTTTTGTGTTGAAGCGATCCTATGATGAAGGGATCAACAAGGTTTCTTGTTTTTTTTTTTGTTGCACGGCCGTTTTACTAACATATACGACTTTTCACTTCTTTCCTTTTACCCTGGGTAAGGGTTGGAAAGCAGACTCATATTTACGGGTTTGTCTCTCTAAGTTTCTCTAACTTAGTGTTCTCGCTTTTTTCTTCTAGATGAATGCCTTGATTGAGGAGTGCGCATTGGCGACAACAGAGCACCTCAAGAAAGCAGCATCCAGTAATCAGGACATCGATGTGAAACAGTGAGCGTTTCTGCTTATGGTGCCTGTATCTGTAAACTCATATTCCTAAAAGTGAGGGCCAATGCATTCCAACATGCTGTCTTTTTACAATGCAGCCAATACTCATTCAGTACTTTCAATCAATAATGAGACACTTCTGAAATTAGCCAGATTTATTGCGATAGCAATTGCACAGGCGCTATCTCAGTGCCGTCGCCCTGCTGTCGTAGTATTCACGGCGCATATGTGACCAGCGGGGGTATGAGTACGTTTCCACAAATCACACTGACGCGCAGTTATATTTGGCTCTAAAAAGGGCATACCGATGTAGGCGCATGTATCTTCGCGCTCCACTCAACTGATACAATGGCTTAGCCAGGGTGCCTTTGTGCCCTTTCTATTGAGGGCCCGTGCATTGTGATCGCTTACTTTAACAAGAAAACCAACACTTACCACTACATGTCATTCAATTTTGAAAGTTAGGTAATGTGAAGTCTCCGGTAAGATGCTTCTTAAAATGAGATGCCCGTATCTGCTTAATGGGTGCTTAGCGAGCGATGCATGGATCGATAGACCGGGAGCGTGTCCCGTTAAATGAAGTGATAAACGTGCCTAACTTGTGAGGGGTGTCAGTTTCACATATTAGTAATACGATGTGATGATGGGGCACATCTTAATGAAAAAAAAATTGCACTAAATAAACTACCTGAGGTTTTTTACCGTGTATGTGTCATCGCACATATTTTGATACCGTGTGCAGCTGTTGTTATTTATTATTATTAAGATGATGAAATAAATTGTATTTAATTTATCGAATCGAATCAAGGTTCTTCTCGGACTACGTATTGAACCTGATAGCGAAGTGCGCCTTCGCGGTGAAGTTGGACTCTCACTCGGACCCAACAAACGAGTTTGTCACAAGATCGAAGCAAGTCCTTTCACAACGCTTCACCCCACGCCTGTTGGTGATGGGTGAGTCCGCTCTTGATGCTTTGAAAAAAAAAGAGGGGGGTGATATGGGAGGCCCCCTAATGGTGAAGTTCGTGCGCATAGAATTTGAGCAATATATATGGTGGCGCATGGTAGTGGTTAGAAGAGGAAAAAGGCACCTAATTTCTGCAGCCCGGTCGGGAACACGGCGCAGTGCCTCAATATATAAGCACACGCACACTAACCACTACCGCTAATACATTTTGCTGGTACTTACCCACGAATCTGATACCTTAAGAATTAGAAAGAGGGTGCAGCTTAAATTGAGGATAGCAGAGTGGGTGAGGGAACAAACAGGCGCTAAGGATATCATAGTTGAAATCAAGAAGAAGAAATCGACATGGACCGGGTACGTAGCACGTGGGCGTTATAACCGCTGGTAATTAATGGTAACTGATTCCCATAGAAAGCAAACGCATGAGGGGAAGACAGGAATTTTGGTGTGCCGATGAGAATAAAAAGATGAGAATAAAAAAACAAAAAGCACAAGACCGGGTTGATTGGTAGATGGGTAGATGATGGGAGGGGCTTTTGCCTGTAGTGTGCGTAGTGAAGCTAATGATGGTGGTAGTAGTGGTGGTGGTGTTGATGATGATGATTATGATGATGGCGATGATGCACGCGCATACTCACCTGTGCACCCACACATGTACAAAAACACACGCACACACTTCTAGGTTCAATGGGATGGAGCACTAAGCGAGTTGGTGTAGCTTCATTGGAGTTAGCAGCGTGACAGACACCGACGAAGGCTAAGAAAACGGACGCATCCAGGCGCCGACTGACAACTGAACTTTGTTGGTTTAACATTACACATACATAACGTATAAACTCGATCGAAGTCGGCTTTATGCGAACATCAACAAATGATGAATAATACAAAAAAGTAAAAAATGCAGCGAAGGGACAGGGGTTAATCCCCTCTTCCCCCACCTCGCCCGGTAAAACTGCCGGACTTTAAATAAAGTTTATTCATTCATTCATTCAGCTAACATGGGGAGGGATCGGCTTTTATCATTCCTTCTCATGTTAGCTGCTCATTTAACCTTTTTGTATTATTGATAATCTGTCGGTGTTCGCATAAAGCTTAGTTCTGTCACGTTTATGCACTTTATGTCCGTGTGGTTCAACAACTGATAAATTTCTGTTGTTAGCGCCGGGATGTGTCCATTTTCTTTGCTTTCGTCGGTGTCTGTTACCGCTGCTAACTGTTATGAAACCACGTTGAATAGCTAAGTTCACGGCAAATAATACCCTGTTATCTGTAGTACGAATGAACTCTAGTTTCGCTTCCCTTCATTCACAGTTGTGTTTCCATTCATCGCAAGGAAGCTTGGCATCGGGCCAATGAAGCGGGACGTCGTCGACTTCTTCAGAAATTTGGGCCGGAACCTGATGAAAGACAATAAGGACACGGACGTGGTGAGATCCGTTGTGAACAATGTTTGATGATCTTTATGTTTCGTATTTTTGCTTATTCCTTCTGCAGCAGCACGATAACTTTTTTAAAATTCTGATGGACGAAAAGAAAATACAAGTTGACGCGAAACACGGAGAAGTCTTTGATCGGGACCGTCGGCTGTTCGACGTCGCTTCTGACAGCAAGCCAGACTCTTCAGCATCGTCAGAGATAAGTAGGAAAGTTCATCATAATCTCGAAAGCTTTTGCATGCGCACTATTGTGCTGACATTGCACTTAACAGTAAACTGAAGGGTGCTCGCGTTCTTACACAAAAAGATACTCAGAAACCTCAGCAATTATCAGTAGAATTTCGCCGATGTATTCTTTTCGAACTGTTTGTTTGATTGTTTGTTTACTCTTCACTAATTTCAGGAGAACTAACAACTGTACACTTCCTAATGAAAGATAGAACCAGTGATAACGAACAAGAACGATAAGTTTAAACTAGTCAGTGTAAGGAATGTGCTGCTTACACGAGCACATTGCTTATTTATATGTTTAAAGACGTAAAACTTATTTTCACTAACAAGCGCAATGCAACTTATAACTTATCGTGCTTTTTTACTGAACAAGGAAACGATATATATATATATATATATATATATATATATATATATATATATATATATATATATATATATATATATATATATATATATATATATATATATATATATATATATATATATATATATATATTATTGTAACGATGTTGAAAAACTCGGGGGTGTAATAAAACGTATTTATTAAAGGGCGAACCTGTGCCCACAACTATGCCCACAAGGGACTATGGTCGTAGCACGTTACAGCAGAACACCAAAGATGTCTTCTTTTTCTGCCTCTTCAAGAAGAGTCCCAAGCGCGTGGCGCGCATCAGCAGGGGCCGGCTGGGTTCTCGTGCTATCATCATCGTCTCTGCGCAACACTAGACGGCGCGCATGTATGTCCCTGTGCGCGTGGTACTATGTCGCGGCATAATCCCCCTCCTCATACGCATCGTCCCGATGCGTCAGGCAATGAATAGATTCGTGGTAGGCGTCACTGGCCTTCCGGTGATCTTTCATAGTAAGGCTTCATCCGGACTACATGTACAACCTCTGTAGGGTTGCAGCGTTTTGAGCTCCCGTGTATAGCGGATCTGACTTGATAAGTTACATCGCTTACACAATGGAGTACTTCGTAAGGCCCGAAGTAGCGACTAAAAAGTTTTTCGGAAAGTCCACGGCGACGCACTGGAGTCCATATCCATACTTTTATCACCTGGTTGAAAATGCGCTTCGGTACGACGCTGATTGTACCGATAGGAGTCGATACGCTGTTGGTGGCGTATTCTGTATCTCGCCATCTGTCGTGCTTCCTCGGCTCTTTGCAGGAAGTCGTCTAGGCCAGGTGGATTGCTGCTTTCATCATTCAGTGATAACATGGATATATATATATATATATATATATATATATATATATATATATATACACGATATATGTTTAACAATCAATGAGCCTACGTGCCTTCATAGTAGTGCTTAGATATGTACCACGGATGTATCACAGCGTTTCTTCCTTTATTATTATTTTCCTAGCTGTACTTGCTGGGTACCGAGAAACAAGAAGCATTAAAAATAATAAACAAATTACGCATGTCACATTTCTCATTGTTGATGTTCGGAAAAATATTTCAAATCAAGGTAATAGAAAAAAAGCGCAGGTTGTTGCATGTACGAGATCGCCATTATATTGATACTAACATAGGCATGTGCGCGGAGGGAAACAAGGTTGCCCCCCCCCCCCCCCTTCACTGGTCACCTTGGAGTGGAGGAGCCGCAAAGTCAGCCCCACACTCGGGGTACGGCCACGAAGTCAGTGCCATACATTGACATAATAGGGAGGGGGGGGGGTGCGGTGACCAATCTTAACTCCGTGCCCCCACCACTTGCACCTTTTTGTATGAAAACCCTGACGACGCCGATATATACTGAATAATGATAACCTTGCCGTGGACAGCATACGCTGTCAAATGTTAGCCTCATTTTAGCCAACATTAGGCAACGTTAACCAGTGCGGACTAGTGCGGGTAGTGCACGAGAAAATGGCCTCGGTTGAACAGTGGCTATATACGGTACGCGGTTGCTAATCCGAAGGTCGAGAGTTCGATCTGCGGCCGCTGGGGTCACATTTTGATAGAGGCGAAATGTTAGATGCCCGCGCAGTGTGCGATGCCAGTGCACGTGAAAGAATACCAGGTGGTCGAAATTTCCGGAGCCCTCCATTACGACATTTCTCACTATCAGCCGGTGGTTTTGTAAGACAAACAAACAAGAAAACGAAATGTTATTATTACTACCACGTGAGAAAATACAGCATTTACCAATGTCACTGCTCTCCGATTATCGTTCACAACAGTTTACAAATACTTCAGGCGCAATGGCAGGATCACTCTAATTGACGTGCGCTTGCATCTTTAGCCTAGCGGCAAGGAGGCGTTTATATGACTCATGTGTGTTTAGCGAAACCCTGGCCGCAGCTGCCTTCATGAGAATGCGCTTTTTAAAGTGTGGCAATATTTCTTTTTTTCTTTTCAGAGCTGACGGAAGACGAAGCCATGGCACAGTGCATACTATTCTTCCTCGCTGGTCAACTCAAGACATCGAATGCGATCGGCTGCACCCTATACCTGCTTGCCCTTCACCAGGAAGTGCAAGACAGGCTGAGGAATGAAGTCGACGAATGCTGCGCACTTCATGTAAGTGTAAGCGGCAATATTTTTCGAAAATTATTCGAAAAATATTTGATATATGGGATATTCACTATTCGATTCCAATGTCAAACTGAATAGAATCCCATTCGATTCGTTATTTGAAACTTTAAGACATTCGCACACCCCTATTCAGTAGTAAAACGTAACTTGAATGTAAACATTCGACAGAAATCTGTCTGGTGGAGTATGAAACTGCGAGACCCCGCAAACTGGGAGTCCTACTGTCACCCCTGAGGAAAGAACCAAGTCTGTTTCGAAGCGTCGGGTTTCTTCAAAACTTTTGGTTGGAGTCTAAGTCATCTCCCAGTAAAACGTAACTGTAGCGTAAAAAGTAGCGACAGCAGGTTCTATGAAAATGTGACGGATGGTAATCTACGAGGGATTACCGTTGATTTGTGAAGCACCTTATAGCGTTTTGAATTCTTAAATTATATGAAAATTACGCTACGAAAAGTGGCATGCTATCTGCGGTGACAATAACAGCCGTCTAAACAGACGTTTGTTAGATTAACAGAAATCGACGAGAAAATGTGTGGCATTCAGGGATGCTTCAAAGAAAGTTGTTTTTCAGGGGTTGTATGCTGTCATCATAAGTCTGGCCTAGTGATTAAGTTTTGTCTTTCGCATAAGTCTTTGACATTCGCATTTATTGCTCTGATAAGTCTTAACAAATTAACCCAAACTTCCGCGGTGCTTTTTGCGCTACCCTTTACTGTAGGGAGATCACCCTGGCCTGGATGCGATCACGAAGCTGAGGTATCTTCACTGCGTTGTCTCCGAAACTCTGCGCTTGTACCCTCCTGTTTCACGGTAACATATTTCCCTATATGTAGGAATTAGATCAGCCGTCGACTTAATCAGTTTTAAGATAGGAAGATAGTCTTACTTTGAATGCAAGCATGTGAAGTTTGTTTCACTGTTCTTTTCTGAAGCGAAAAGAAAAACGTCTGTAGTAATCTATGTCTACGTATATAGTGCTCTTCTAACACAGTTGTTCAACAAACAAACAAACAAACAAACAAACAAACAAACAAACAAACAAACAAACAAACAAACAAACAAACAAACAAACAAACAAACAAACAAACAAACAAACAAACAAACAAACAAACAAACAAACAAACCAAAACAATCGGAGGTGACGCTAAACCTTGACTTTCGTGTTTAGTAGTCGCATTGCCGGAGCGAATCTCGAAGGCCATGTAGACAGAAGCGCGGGGCTGAGAACTGCTTTGCGTCAACAATCCTAGCGGCTAATTGCACGCATCTTTAAAAAAACTTATGCCCTGATTCCATATGCACCTATATCCAATATAACTCTTAGCCTAAACGAGAACCATCGATTTCCCGCCAATTTAAATTTTTACGAGACTTTTGAATATTCGGGAAACCGGTAGTAAGTGTTTGACCAGAAGTGCTTGAAAGAGAAAAAGTGTCACTCGTTGCTCGCGATACCAAAACAGTTCGCTGATGACTGGAACCACTTTGTTGGGATTAGTCTTCAATATGGCTGTTTTTTTTTGTCTTTTTTTCAGGTTTGAACGAGCGCCTTCTGAAGACTATACACTCGGAGACACTGGAGTGAAAGTGACAAAAAACGATCTGGTCGCCGTTCCTATTTACGCCATACAAAACGACCCGAAATACTTTCCAGAGCCATCCACCTTCGACCCCGAAAGGTGAAGGGTCATTCATACAAGTTCACCAGAATTGCTTTCGAACTTATAAATGCGTGTCCTTAGGCCATTTGATACTTAGTGGCAAACAAAAGAGAAGATTACCTTTGTAAATGTTTTAATTGCATGACGATGCACCACTAAACTTTTTGAAAGTTGACCCCTACCATAGTTTCACCTTTTGTCTGTAAAACCGCAGCCATAGTGTCGATTTATCTCCAGCAGCTATGAAGGCATGGTCCAACCATTTGATGACTCTTTGTGCCGTTACCGGCAACGACGCTTTAAAAGGAATTATTCTCAAGGAATCAGTAATGAGACTAAAGGATCTAGTTGGTTCATAGAGGCTTGGCGATGCTCTTGTGGTATAGGATAAGAAGAGAGGAACCCCAAAAAAAGGTAGTCAGGGAAGTTAAAAGAGCTGCCGACACGATTGGTACACATCTTAAAAATGACACGTTCCGTTTCCCTCGTTTGCTAGTGTTAACGCTCTTCATACATTGGAGCCAGACAGTTCGTATACAATATCTTATATTGGTTTTAAAGTTATAGTCGCTGATCATTTGCAATCCAGCTCCGCTGCAATGGACATTATCTCGGACGAGTCAAGACAGTTCCCGAGTTGCCAGTTCCTGCGTCTTGCATGCAGCTTAAATCACAGAAATTACTGTTCAGGGTCACAGGACGATAATACACTAATCGTTGTTTACGTGCAACATGAGTAGATGACTGATTAGCATTTAGTACGTGGAGAGTTGCAGTCTTCCCCTGCTGTCACACTGCTATGACACGTCCCCGAAAGCCACTCTCTCGATATCGAAATCGAAAGCGTTGTTTTGAGGTGATGATATACATAAAAATGTATTCGATGTGTTCCCAGGCATCCATGACATTCGTTTTAGCTTTCTTGACATCAGAACTTTTATTTAGAGCAACAATCAGAAAAATTTTAAAGGACGTGTCCGTACTAATTTTCTGTACAGGCAGCAGTCCGGTTGGTTACTAACGCTACAAATAACATACATGACGCAGTTTAACAGGACGTTGTTGCAAATACTCCTGTCAAGTGTGTCCTGTGTTCGTTTTAGTGTTATCCTACCACGTGTGCATCGCCAAACCATCGCAGAAATCGTTGTACGGCAGTTATTTGTTCAAAATGAACTGAGGTGAAGCCGGAAATTTTTTCAGCAACGGGTAAAGGGATGGAATTGCCCTTTATGTGCATTTGTGCGTTGGTTTGTACTCGCACGTGAAAATATACATATGTGAATTAAGCCCCCCGCCCCTTCCCACGTCTATTCGTTATGTCTATGAAAGTCAAGGTGCCTTTCCTGCGTTATAATCGATTCGGCGCTTAAATCAATGTAACGACTTACTATGACGCTAATGTGAGAGAGGGAGTGGTGGTATGAATTTGAGTTGGTGTGTTCCGAATGAAAAGGTAATTTAAAAGAAGCAGTAACTAGGGTCTGGGAAAGGGCTAAGTGCCTCTCACAACAGCATAACGCGGCGTCAGAACAACGCGAGAGTCGTTCAGGTGACTCGCCCATCAGATTGACCTCCTGTAACTGTACGCGATTATACAGCTTTTTTTTTTCATTGATCTGAGTCTTAAGTGTTGCTGTGGTGGAAAGTGCGTGGTTTTTACTGAGAGAAGGTGAATATATACAGAATCGAGATACCCAGAAGCCGTGACAGTTACTTTCAGCAGAGAATGACAATAAGCAGCTTTTAATAAAGCATGAAGACGACGCAGCTGGGTTATTTGTCTCACTTTTACTCGTATCTTGTTCTTGTCGAAAGCTGCACACTAAAATAACCCTGTACTGAGTATTCCGAAGTAAGTTTCTAGGAATAATTCGAATGGACTCATGTTTTGCAAGCTTTTTGGTGACGATTTATAGCAGAACATATTTTTAGTATACCTCGCATAATGTTAAATTTGAATGGAACCATGTTTTACTAACCTTTTTGGTGACGATGTATAGCAGAAAATAGTTTTAGTATACCTCGCATAATGTTTCTTGACTCGCTCGCTGGATTTCGTGCCGACTGCATGGTTGTGCCCTCACGATCTCCGACGTCAGCATATCTCTGGCCGACTGGGCTGGCCATACGCCAACTCCTGACGCCGATCTTCGACGACAGTGTAGCTCTGGCTTACTGGACTTGCCCTACGCCAACTCCTGACGCCAACTCCTGACGCCAATCTTCGACGACAGCGTAGCTCTGGCTTACTGGACTTGCCCTACGCCAACTCCTGACGTCGATCTTCGACGACAGCGTAGCTCTGGCTTACTGGACTTGCCCTACGCCAACTCCTGACGCCGATCTTCGACGACAGTGTAGCTCTGGCTTACTGGACTTGCCCTACGCCAACTCCTCACGCCGATCTTCGACGACAGCGTAGCTCTGGCTTACTGGACTTGCCCTACGCCAACTCCTGACGCCGATCTTCGACGACAGCGTAGCTCTGGCTTACTGGACTTGCCCTACGCCAACTCCTGACGCCGATCTTCGACGACAGCGTAGCTCTGGCTTACTGGACTTGCCCTACGCCAACTCCTCACGCCGATCTTCGACGACAGTGTAGCTCTGGCTTACTGGACTTGCCCTACGCCAACTCCTCACGCCGATCTTCGACGACAGTGTAGCTCTGGCTTACTGGACTTGCCCTACGCCAACTCCTCACGCCGATCTTCGACGACAGCGTAGCTCTGGCTTACTGGACTTGCCCTACGCCAACTCCTGACGCCGATCTTCGACGACAGCGTAGCTCTGGCTTACTGGACTTGCCCTACGCCAACTCCTGACGCCGATCTTCGACGACAGTGTAGCTCTGGCTTACTGGACTTGCCCTACGCCAACTCCTCACGCCGATCTTCGACGACAGCGTAGCTCTGGCTTACTGGACTTGCCCTACGCCAACTCCTGACGCCGATCTTCGACGACAGCGTAGCTATGGCTTACTGGACTTGCCCTACGCCATCTCCTGACGCCGACAAGAGCTCTCGCCAGCGGTGCCCCGTCGTCGGACTCCTGCAACCGTGTCCACATTTCCTGTATTCTCCTTACTTCCGTCGTTCACTGTCCCTGCGCCTCGTTCTCTCCTTCCTCTCTCTTTCTATCTCCTTACCTTTTAATCCTATTCTTTTAATCCCTTCTCTACCACCATCCCTCGTGAGCTACTGTTGAGGTGTCCTCCCTCTGAGAGACAGTTACAGGGCTCACTTTTCTCTTCTTTTCATTTAAAATCACCCCCCCCCTAATGTTTCCTGTGCGACACTTGTGAGGGTGACAGTTATCACCGTTGTTGTTCCAGGTTCAGCGAAGAGAACGCCGGTTCGATTCAACCGTACACTTACCTTCCATTTGGCGCTGGACCGCGCAATTGCATCGCAATAAAGTTCTCCCTGCAGGCTACAAAGCTTGCCATCTTTCACGCCATTCGCAACGTGCAGGTGGTGCGCACTGAAAATACCAAAGTAAGCGCCACTTTCATGCTTCTTTAAGAACATTTTTTTTTTAAGTTACAGTGCTCTTCAGTGGAATTTAATGATTGAAAGAAATCTCTCGATCTCTTCGAATTCAAATTTCATTTTTGTTTTCAGGTTCCTCTTGTGTTTCAAAATGGGTTCAGGCCTATGACTGCTGAAAATATCACGCTGGGAATCAGGAAACGTATATAGCGAAGCGAGCTGCTGCTTTAGTCGCCTCGCTTTCACCTTCCAAGCTACATTGTTGCAAATGGTTGGTGAACGTGAAAAGCATATGAGCTTTTCACATTGTGACGTTTTAAATTCCCTTCAGGTGCCACTGAAATTTCGGTTATGTTGAAATAATAGCGAAAGTTGGGCTAGTTGGTGGTTCATGCTTAGGATGTAAAAACAGCGCGAAAAATATAGACAAGGACAGAGGAAGAGGTGTCGTCTCTTCCTCTGACATTGTGTATATTTTTTTTGCGCTGTTTTTGCATCCTAAGTTATGTTGCATTTCTCACATATTAAAAGTTGTCAAAACCAAAATGCGGTAAATAGATTCAGAGCTTTGAAACTTTGACAGTGTTTTCTCAAGTTTACAAAACTTGTAGACTGAATGCGTGCGCTGTCTACAGGCATGCGAACTATGAGGCCTCCAGCATGCTTGAAAGACACCTATTCAGCCACGTGACAAATCAGCCAGACGACCGCGTGAAACTTTGTTACCAACAGTAAAAGACGCGAAACCTCCACGTGAGTACAAAGCGGAAGCGGAAGTTCAGCTCCCAACTGCGCTCGCTAATTATTCCGCTCCTATTGTTCAAGTTTGGAGCAAATACGAAATCCCGAGTATGTCAAAAGACGTGGCGCATATATTAGCCTGAATTATTTTCATTAGCACTTTTGCTGCCGGTGCGCCATCTTGACGCAAATAGTTGTAAACGCCGGGCCTGAAGGGGAAATAGTTGTAGCTCTCTATTGTGAAAAGTTGTATGGTGAATATACAATGTTGTTGTGAAAAATAAAGTGTACAAATCTCTAACCAGAGCGTGTGATTGTGAACGCGCGTACACACGACAGATAACAAATGTCTAAACAGAATGTGGGATTGTGAACGCCCATACACACATATTTACCATGCATGCCCGAAACGTAGTCACTAGTTCTGCGAAACTTCCTCTGATCGGCTAACATAATGAAGAACCAGCGGTCAGTGATAATGTAAACATGAAAAAAAAGACACTTGTGTGATACCTGTGTGGCTTCGTTTATGCACGTGGAAAATTATTTACGTGTTTGGCAGGTCACGTGATCTCGCTTTGACCAACGGGGTGTAAGCACGCGCATTTAAAATCTCGCGGTGCATTTACGACACTACACGATCTCCCTAGCCCATCACGTGACGCGGGGCGCTTACTGCAACGCCATTGCCTGAGCCGGCATGTCACCTGATCTCGCTTTGACAAATCTCGCATAAGCTCGCGCATTTAAAATCTCGCGGCGGATTAACGATTTCACATAATCTCTCCAACCAATCACATACGTGCACTAGTGCGCTTACAGCTTCACTGTCTGATGTTTATCGCGGTGTGGAACTGACAGCATTATTATTATTATTATTATTATTATTATTATTATTATTATTATTATTATTATTATTATTATTATTATTATTATTATTATTATTATTATTCGTCATTTAGCACACCACATGTAATATACGTGAGTGACTCCAGTTGCAGGTCTCCAGTTGACATCTTCAATCAGACTGGCCGAGCCAGCACAACCCTTGCAAGTTGCGTTTACAGACCTCGCCTTGACGCTGACTTGGCACGACCTCGACGAACTCTTGTCCTGACAAGCCAGCCCGACGCGACTTCTTCGGACTCGTTGTAAATGCAGCTTACGACTAACCTGACGACACAGCCACGTCGCCACCTGTAAACGTGTATTCTCCGTGCGAGAGAAGGAAATGCCTGAGAAAATTGTACATGGAGTTCGCTTTGATCGCAGAGAACGAGGCGAGCTTAATGGTCCCTTGGTCAGCGAGCACGTTCAACTTGCGCAACGTCGGTCGTGGACGCGCACTGAGCCACTCAAGGGCGAGCGGGTAGCGGCTCTTTTCACCATCTCTTTTTTCTTTCTTTCCCCTCTCCGTCTGCGCTTCCGTTTCATTGAGCTTCGCTTCTCAAAGAGCCTTCCGCCCTTCCCCTTTATTTTTAGCTTTTGTGTTTTGCCTGGCCACTGATGGCACTAATGGAAAGACAGCCGAGCGTTGCGCAAATAATGTACTATGTGTCCTCGGCCGCGCTGGAGTGGCAGTGGCCTGTTCTCGGGTGAGTCACCATCATCATCAGCCTGACTACGTCCACTGCAGGACAAAGGCCTCTCCCGTGTTCCACCAGTTAACCCGTTCCTGTGCTTGCTGCTGCCAATTTACACCCGCACAATTTATATCCTGCGCAGTTGTACTCGGGTGAGTACAACTGCGCAATCGCAGTGCGTTTGCACGGGGCCCAAAATATTGCAGGGCGTCACAGTTTCAGACGTGCATTTTATTCAACCGTTTTTCTTGCTTAATAGAACTTTTTGTATCACTTGCCATACACGCTTTTTTCATCGCACAGCATGACTTCACTTTGACAACATGCTCTTCGAAATGTATAGTATTGCATGGTCACTCCGTTAGCTTGCTACGATGCAGCACTTGAGGGCCATCGTGGTGCCATGCAAATAAGCGATATTTGAGAGATGGTGTCAGCCCATGGAAGGTTGTGGCCCTACCACGGATGTTATTGTGGAACTGCATACATTAAAACGCCACGATAGTAAGCCGAATTTATTAAACCCACCAGTGGCGTAGCCAGGGATTGGTTTCAGTGGTTCTCCCCCATCCCCCGCTAGAAATGTTAGATTTTGTTTCTGCATATAAACGCGCCCGCAAATACATTAACTAAAATGCGTACAGAAAGTTTAACCATACCCGCAAAAATTTCTGGCGGCACCCCTGAAACAAGCTAAATTTCGGCGTCAAGCCACATTAATTAGTGCATCACGCTCAACTTTGACGCAATATGGATGCGTTAATGCTGCGTGCGTTTATGCGTAGTGCAGGTCCGGCGTGGTGCGGCGTGTGTGAAACATTGCTGCGTGAGCTCGACGCACAACGTTTGGCATGTGCTGATGCGCGCGCCCTCTCCCGGTCTCATAAGAGAGCATAAAAAAGGCGTATGCGAAGCCTCGTGGCCATGAAACGGGGGCGAGGTCAGCCGAGTGTCGTCTCTGTTTCTCTCCTTTCTCTCGCGTACGCTTGCTATAGATGGCCATCAGGCGGTGGCCCTTCATTCCAGAAAAAAAGATGCTCCTGGTACAAGTCAACTGGAACGTGAAGAACGGCTGACTATGAAGACGTAGGCTTGCGTCGGCTGCGATAGAGTGGGGCGGGGCCGATAAAGAAAAGTTGTTACTCGCGAACCACAGAATACGCCTGCCTATTGCCGGCCCATGGTGAGCGTCAACGGAGAAGAAGAGGTTCTCAGCGCTGTAGAAGAAGTTCACATTCGAGGCTCAACCGCATCGCCGGCTGTCCAATGGAGTTATTCGGTTTGCCGGATTGGATCGTCTTCACGGGGACTGTTTGCGTGCTTGTATACCTGTGAGTATGCATGTTCGTCTGCTCTGAAATTAAAAAAAAAAACAATTCGACATGTATGCACGTACAGTCGGGCTTAGGATGCGTTCCACATAACTTGATTAAGAAATGATTAAGGCTGTACTAAGACCAACGCTTTCTACACAGCAACGTATTCTCAGACTCGAGAGGATAAACTTTCGATTGCTGAATCGGCGCTGTAGGAAAGCTACGAAATTTATGTGGCTGTATTTTGGTATGCAGGCATCGAAGGAAGGAAGAATGGACGGGAGATATCACCTGTTTGTTTTAACAGGTGATATTTGATTTTAACCGGTTGTCAGACGTGTCATGCAAATCTTACTGTTTGGAAAAATGTCTGTACTGGCACGATACTCTCGCAAGTAGTTTCATGAAGAGAATATTAGGTTATTTAAATTCTAAAACACACTTCCTACGAGCAACAAAATGCCTTAAATTATAATAGTACATTTATTACCATTCAGAGGGTATGCATTTGCATGACAGAGTAACTATTCTGCACATCATAATTGAGTAGAAGGACAGGCCCATTTTAATCTCTTATTTACATTACGTGGCTCTTTGTAATCATGCAGGAGTGTAGCCCCCCTCATGCAGAAGGTTTCCTCACTTTTACATCGTTAACATGAAGCTGTTTTAGTTTGTTTACTCTTAGCGCTGAGTCAGGTCATTTACACAGCTGCGGGCTTATAGGCATGAACGAACAGCAAACAGGCAATTTACGTTAATTCTTTTAAGCTGACACCAACAAGCTTTTTTACTGAACGACCCAATTTTTATCTGCCCATGAAAGTTTGCAAGTACAAATGCAGTTTTCTTAAACACTCGAAAAGAATGTTAATAACGTTTTTTTTTAAAATATCTAGTGGCTCCGGTAAGGAAGTCTAAACCATTTATAAAATGACAGGAAGTTGCAAGTCTGATTAGGCGCATTGGAAAAAGAATGCCAAAGTTTCGGCACGAGGACTTTGTCAGGGGTACTAACACAAGGCATGACGAAGGCAAACACCTTGTCTTGACGACTGCTGGATGTGTTTTGCTCGGGCCCTGCTCATTACCCGAGTAATGAAGTTGCCAGACGTAGCCCTGTTTGTTGCTTTTATCTATTACTTGAACTTTACAGATATGCTTCGTGGAATCGGAACTACTGGAAAAACCAGAATGTCGTCTCAGAGCCATTTTCCTTTCCATTTGGAGCGACTTTCAAACTGCTTTTCAAGGTAATCATGCGACAGTTATTTATAAGGTGCTCATATTACAAAGCACAAGAGCAGCTTGTGTGTGGGAATATTAGAGGGGCCTTTGCTCCTGCAGTGGGCGTAGTCTGGCTTATGATGATGATGATGATGATGACATTTACTTCAAAGATGTTGCGCATTTGGCATGAAATTCAAGATATACGTAGCAGTCTCATATTCTACAGTGCTTACTGACGGAATGAAATATTGAGGAGAGGTTAATGACCAGTTCATAGAGCTTTATAAATTATCAATGCGCGCATATGTGTTATGCAAGCTGACTGAAGCCTTACTCAAGTGTTATGAACAGGGATGGCGGTGACTGTGCGTCTTTCGAAAAATACATTGTCTAATAATAAATGTTCGTGATACAATATGCACTGTCACAAATAAATATCCATGCTATAAAGCAGGAAGTGCTATTCTATTAAATGTGATATCAGTGGGCTGATTGTCATAAAATTCAATTTGTAGAAAGCTTGAGAGTATACAGTGAAAAAAGATTGCCATGACCATGGTCTTGCTTTTGTAAGCAGTCTCTCCTTGAATTTTCAGCCCATGTGCCAGCTTGACTCCGAAAGATACAAACAATACGGAAGGGTTTTTGGGTGAGTGTACTTTGAACAGATACAATGCCGTCAAATTTCCTTCGATTATGCACTAAACTGAGGCTGTAAGTTCCTATTTATATAAAGAACGAAACTATCCTCACAGTTTGAAATCTGATCTGGAAGGCGCCAGACCTTTGCAAAGAGTTATTGTTTTTAATGAAACTCGCGAAATTTTTGAGCGTATATGTACTTGCATGTTTACTGACATATCTCTCCTTCACGCAGTACCTTTGAAATGGGAAATGCTGTCTTGTTTGTCGGAGAAGCAAAACTGGTTGAACAAATCCTAGTAGAAGACTTTCCATCGCTTCCCAACCGAAGGGTGCGTATAAGAGCGCAGGCAGCTCGACATGTTTCGTCAATCTGCGGACAACTACTTCTCTTTATTCTGATTTTTTTTTTTTGTCAGTCATCGACAAGTCGCAATACCTACGTTAAAAGGAAACATTATAGCCGTACATAACGGGACATATGACTTGTTCTAAACGTAGGTGGCATCACTGTTGAGCCTGCGTGTTGGTCAACGCTGTGTTGGTTCCAATGCCACAAGACTCAAGCGTTTTGAGCTCGTCGTCACATCCTTTATAGTCCTGCATGCTTTTTTTTGAAAAGACACCAGAGTAAATTTACAAATTCATGTTACAGGGTCGCGCATTCTCTATTTGCGTACTGATTTTGCAACTCTGAAACCAGTTCCTCTAATTTATTTAACGTGCATGTACCGAAAAGTGCTCGTGTTCTTTCGGAAAGGTCCGCGGAACCATGCCGGAAAAGCTCCTTACAAGTAGCACACATCATCACCATTAAACAAGAAAGCTGTAAGCGTTCGTCTAATGAAACGCCAAACTCTGCTGCCTAAATAGGAATTTGTGACGTACAATGGAATAGCTGGCGGCACCGAAAGCAGTCTTTTTTACTTCGTCAAACTATAATTTAACTTTTTCCTTCGTTTGTTACGTGTACACAAGCGGGCTCAGCCATGGTTAAGCACCCTGATGATGATGATGAGGTCTCTGCCATGGCTCATACCTAACCGGGAGAATTGGCCCCCGAGTAATTTATTATATGAATTTTCAACCTTTTAAGGAATAAATAATCGTAACAAAAAGAAGACCCTGCTTTAAAAAAAATATTATTCTTCTCTTCTTCTTTGAATACTCCATTCTATGCGTCTTTCTCTCTTTCTCTCTCTCTCTCTGTGTATAAAAACGTCATTACATTGAACTGTCACATGGTTAAGGTTAATAGTCTGATTTATCATACGAATATCACGGCTTGCAGACTCTTACCTTCAACGACCCCGTTCTGGACAACATGATGAGCATGACGCCCTTCGAACGATGGAGGAAGATTCGCATGCCGGTGGCGCAGGCCTTCTCCACGGAAAACGTGAAAAAGGTCACACGTTTATTCAACTGTTGCCCACAGACTATCGGAATGAAGTGAAATTTCACCGCGTAAAGTGAACCTCATGCGTCTGTGACCACATATATTTTTCAGCTTTACACGACTTTGTGCTTACTTGTCTGAAAAAAAAAAAACAAACTGCGACCCATTTCATTTGAAGTAATTTAAATGTCTACGAAGAACTCAAAAAATAAAAAGGATGAATATATACTGTGAATTTTTCATACGAATATATGGCTATACCAACTCCCTTGCCAACAACATTTAACGTGAGATTTCGACATCACACTTGCCGTTGTCTTGAAGTAACAAGCGTGTTATGTTAAGAGTTGTGAATAGTTATTCAGTACACCTGTTGCCGCAGTTCAATTGAGCACTACGTTTGTCAAAAAAATCGAAAAAGAAAAGAAAACTTTGTCTGACGAGCACTGATTGCTTTAAAAGACCCCTAAACCATGTACGCGTCGAAATTAAATTGTGACGTTGCAGTTTTTGTTTGATGTTGCAGCCGCTACAATTTTCCGAAACGTTGCAATAAAAGCGAAGTAACACACGCGTCATGGTCCAAAAGCGTCCCTCGCTCGCTTTGCACTTTCTTTCCTGTACGCTCCGTTCGTCAGTTCGCCCAACGCCGACTAAATTTCAAGGCCGAAAGGCTGCCGCAGTGACGTCAGAGGTTGGGGCCCCAGTTGCCCTACTGAGCATGCTCAGTAAGACTTTTTTTTCCACATCTTTTATTCGGCCCAATCTAGCCGCAGCAGCTGCGAGAGCGGGAGCGTTGGTTCTCCTAAAACGTGAACGAAACGCAGGCTTTCCGTCGCGTTCGCAACGTAACTGGGCAACACCATCTATGTGTCACACGGTACCGTGTGGCTATGTGCCACACGGTATGCGAGATGGCGGTACTTTGAGTGTTATCTAGATGGACACACGGACGGACGCATGGACGGACAGAAAGACAGACAGACTAGCAGACGGACGGACAGGTAGACGGATGCGTAAAGTGCTATGTGCCACAGGGTGTGCGAGATGGCGGTACTTTCAGTGTTCTCTAAGATTGATGCACGGCCGGACGCATGGACGGACAGACAGACAGACAGACTAGCAGATGGACGGACAAGTAGACGGACGCGTAAAACGGCCATGTGCCACAGGGTATGCGAGATGGCGGTACATGGTGTTGAACTGGGCCCCCACCCTCTGACGTTACTGCGGCAGCCTTTCGGCCCTGAAATTTAGTCGGCGTTGGTTCGCCTCTTCTCCTCGCAGCGTGCCCCCCCCCCCCCCCCCCCCTCGAGGAGCAGCGAGAGCGCATAGCTGCAAGCAAACAAACATGTTATTTGTGTTGCTGACACGACCAGACGCGAGTAATGACGCCATGGCCAACGCTGGGATTACTGAAGGGCCCTAAGAGAACGAGGGTGCACTTGTGCGCGTGTGCTTGTGTTTGTGTAGCACGCCCACGGTTCGTATTGCGTTTGACATAGTTCGTTGCAACGGCATTCTAAAGCCGATGCACGCGTTTACGTGAAGTGTTAAGGTTATCGAATGTGGTTCATGATGCCTTTAACCTAATCCTGAATTCACGGTAGTTCATTGTATGCAGTGTGAATGTTGGAAGGCGCTAATCCAAACTCCTGTAATAACCCCGCAGGAGAGAGAGAAGGAAAGAGAGAGGAAAGATAGGGAGGTTAACTAAATTATTTGGCAACCTCGTCAGTAACCGTCATGGTGATGAAGGTTCGGGTAGGCAAAGTTTAAATATTCTTTCTTAACTAAGAATTCGTGCATGTACAGACGCAATATCAGATCAGGCTAAAATTATATCGCAGTTAGTAGGATATGGAAACAACAACTGGTAAAGAGGTATCACTTAGGTCTTTTTTTTTTGACATGACGACGCTGCACGAACCTTACGTGAACATAGTGTGAGGTCAATACCAGAATGTATACAAGTCCCACAACCCGAATTACTATTTCACAAAATGTTAACGAACCCTTTTAAACAATGTTTGTTCGCAGATGCATTCCTTGATCGAAGACTGCGCTTTAATTACGGTGGACCATTTGAAGAAAGCGGCGTTCACCGAAGAAGACATCGATGCTAAAAAGTTGAGGATCGCATTTCCCTGAATATCCTTTGTGTTCTATTGTTGTTGTATTCCTCAATGTTGTATCCAACATCATTTTCCAAAGTTTCACTCGAACAAACTTTCGCTCAATATGTATTTTTCTTTCAGTTATTTTGCCGCATCCAAATGTGTTTGAAAGACAGTTTATTTTTAACCATTTTTACGTCAGCACAAGGGCTACGCTAACTAAATAATGCAGCCTTCTGAAGTGATGGACATTAGAGCCGAATTTTCAAAGTTCTTCATACGTTAAATCATTAGCATATGAACAAATACTTCCATTCTGCTTGCGTGGCTCTATTCCCCTAGAAGTTCCCCTTTCTTTTGTTCTGCTCAACCTTCGTTAACTCATGATGCTTGCACTGCAGGTTTTTTGGGAGCTACACTTTGGACGTGATCGCAAGATGCGTATTCGCCACTCGGATAGACTCTCACTTGGACGGGAAAAGCGAATTCGTCAAACGGTCAAGGCAGGCTCCTTCAGGACGTCTTACTCCCCGCATCTTTGTTTATTGTAAGTACGACGTCGTGCATGTATCTTATTTCACCTTCAGAGTAAAAGTTCATCATCATCATAATCATCATCATCAGCCTGACTACGTCCACTGCAGGACAAAGGCCTCTCCCATGTTCCGCCAGTTAACCCGTTCCTGTGCTTGCTGCTGCCAATTTATACCCGCAAACTTCTTAATCTCATCTGCCCACCCAACCTTCTGTCTCCCCCTAACCCGCTTGCCTTCTATGGGAATCCAGTTGGTTACCCTTAACGACCAGAGGTTATCCTGTCTACGCGCTACATGCCCGCCCCATGTCCATTTCTTCTTCTTGATTTCAGCTATGATATCTTCAATCCCCGTTTGTTCTCTAATCAACTCTGCTCTCTTCTTGTCTTTTAAGGTTACACCTACCATTTTTCTTTCCATTGCTCGTTGCGTCGAGTAAAAGTTAGTGTGTTTTAAATTCTTCAGTACGCTGCTGTGTGCCGGAGGTAGCGCCAGAAATTTTTCGCGGGGTTAGGGGGGGGGGGGGGGCAGGCGGAAATTCTGGAGGGCTCCAGTGCTGTTCCCTCACAAGTGTCGTCTAAAGAGTTAGAGAACATGTAGGTTGACTCGCACTATATTAAATGTTACCTCACTCACCTAGGATAACTTGGCTTATCCTTGAATTGCTCTTTAATACAGCTGGAACGCGAACATTGGGGCATATGCGTGGGATAGCAGGTGGACACGCAACGATTGGCATGCAATAGTAGCGTAGCTAGAACTTTTTTTCGGGGGGAGGGAGGGGGGTTCAACCATACTTCATGTATGTTTGTGCGTGCGTTCGTATGTGACCGTGAATGTGTACCCAAGCAATATTGAAAAATTCAGGGGGGAGGGAAATTTGAACTCTCTGACCCCCTCTTGACTACGCCCGTGGCGGGCGGCTAGTTGCGTCTCCTTTCTGGTCTTCCATCGTGTTACCTGATGCATGTGCATTATCACATGCCACGTACTACAATATATTTATTGATTGACTTCATATTTTGCCACACTCCACAGGTGACACTATATTTGCAGGTAGTGTTCGTCGCTTAGAGATACACAGCAGCAAAATTAAAATATAGCTAGAGCAGTAGATTGCCTATCTGGATGGCATTACTTGTTTCCTGCGTTCATTTGGTTTCGTGGAATATCACTCTTAAAGGCCTGCTAACTCTCAAGTTTCCAACACAGGCTAGTAGTGGCGACCTCAACGATAGACACGCAACCTCCTTGTGAATCGGTCAAATATCGCGCCAAAAAAGAGATGCTGTAGTGGCGCCACAGGTGGCGCCACTTTGATTTGTCATTTTGTCATTTTTTTTGTTTATACATCCCCATTCTCGCTATGAACAATCAACTTATAACAATAGAAGGCAAATAATTATTATTGGCTTCTTTTAGTGCTTTATTAGACGTATGTTTCTGCATTCCAGTTCTGTTTCCCTTCATCGCAAGAGCAACTGGACTTCGACCACTCAGCCCAAGCGTACTTGAGTACTTCAGGAGGTTCAGCCAGAATGTAATCATTAGCACGCAGAAAGAAGAGCCGGTAAGAATGCCTGAAAAAAATTTTGAAACCTGGTAAATATTCCGGTTTTTTTTTACTCGCAGTTTTTTTTTTTAATTTGTTAGCAAGGCGAGAGCTTTGTTCACCTCTTTTTGGACCACCAAGGGAATTGTGAAAACACACCGGATAGTTCATCTGAGAGGGATCAACGACTTTTCAACCTCGGTTCAGATAGGAAGCAGGATACTTCATTCTACTCCTTTAAAAGTGAGCGTTATTTTTTGCGAGCATGACTATTGGTTGTACAAAGTTTCACCGCTAAATCGTTGATTCTATGTAAACACTGCTCCTAGGAAACACAAGACTAGTGAGGTAGCCATATTAGATGCCTCAGTGGTAACATAGATTGCTTGATGTTATGCTTTCCATGGAATCTAAGATGGCACACGAACTCACTCGGACTCAGCTACCGTTGAGATGGTTACTCGGACATTATTTTAGTTTCACGTTTTCCGCATACACGTGTTCTTTGCTAATTCATAACACTGTATATATGATTCTTATTGTCAAACTAAACATTAACAGAAGTGCAGTAGATCGAGCTGGTTGCACGTTTTTAACGTTGTCGATATTGTCAGGATCTACAAGAAATGTCTGGAGTATTCGCTATATACCTTGCATCATCAGCAAGGCATAAATTTTATTATTCCCAAAAATTTAGAATCGTCAAAAGGTGGGAAATAACGTCGCGTTAACAGAAAAATACACTGAATGACTAGAAGTCCTCGAACGAAGAAGCGTTGCGCGCCACGGACGAATGTTCACAAATACTTTATTTGCGTCCACTGAATGGTGACATTTTATATGAGACATTAAATACTACGTGCGAATATTTTGCTACAAAGACAGAATTTCCGTATTTGTTTTTTTAGATTCAGTGCATAATTTTGCACTATGCTTGTTTTGTGACTTTTTGCGCATGCGAGCATACACTTTACCATAAACTAATCGAAGGTAATCATGTACGAAAAAAGCCCAACTGTAATCCTTTGGAGGTGAACGATTACAGGTAATAAAAAAGTCATTTCAATATGTACTTCAACAACTACCAATGTTTAAATTACTACTCGTGACTTGTCTTTCAGAGCTTAACGCTGACCAAGCGATGGCCCAGTGTTTGCTCTTCTTCATCGCTGGCCAAGAAACTACCTCAAGAGTGATATCCTACACGCTGTATTTGTTAGCTGTTCACCCAAATGTACAAACCAAGTTGAGGAAGGAAGTTGATGAGTGTTTCGCTGCTCACGTACGTATCGCCGTGTTGCTGCTTCAACCTTCAGTCTGCCTTCTGGAATATTACTAGATGTTTTACTATAAATGTGAAAATTGTTAGTGTGGATAGAGCAGTTATAATTTTGAGGTTGATACATATTTTGAGATGTACACCGTCAACGTCGGGGTAAAGATGCACTGTTGTTGCACTCGTTGTGCAAATAAACCAGTTTCATGCATAGGCGCTAATAACAGCTGGTGGTAACAGCTTGGTAAGATTATCATAAAAATGCACCCGACCCTCTTCGCTTAGCGCATACTTTCCTTTCCCGCAGGGTGGCCACCCCAGTCTGGAAGCTGTCACGAAGCTGAAGTACCTGCACTGCGTTATATCGGAGTCGCTTCGAATGTGCCCGCCAGTATCTAGGTGACGTAAATTACATTGTGTATTGTTGATATTACATTTTTGAAAGCTTTGAAGATGTTTTCCTATGTGGTGGTGTCATTTCATCGGGCCATATTAAGGGAGCTTTTGACACGATAGCGTTAAAGAGCTCATTTCGCTGAAATTCCGGCATCGGCCTCACTGGTTGTGAGCGAGAAATTATCATCTGAAGCGTGACCGAATGATAGATAACAATGCAAATAAGATAATCATTAAAAAAACTTGGGTCAGAATGACTATCGGACCCGGGTCTTGTGAATAAAGTGAAAATAACTTCCTCTGCTTGGAAATTCAGTCAATCTTATTTTCATGCTTCACAAACACACGCGTCCTGTATAGATGCTTTACAATGCAACATAAAATATTGCAGTCATAATGCGTGGTACAAGCGCCCATTGCTGTCGGGCGTCAAAACATCTGATTATGATAATGACTTCACGATTTCAAGCTGGTCACCCACTACAAAAGGCACACACTCTACTGCACCTATTGCTTTAAGGCCACGTAGTGAGTGCATAGCGAATTCGAAAAGGTTTCGTGCACTAAGTGATTAAAATACGCACTAGGGACAAGATAGCGCGCGTTTAATTCTTGAAGGTTAAGCTTAAGACTCCCGCAGTTTTTAGAACGCCGGAAGAGGCACGAATGCAACAAAAGTATGTAAAATATTGTTATTTATTGCCGCTTGAAATAACTTTTCGGAGACCCGTGCCTTATACAGGTATGCCTGGTGTATAACCACCAGGTATGCCTGGTGTACAGGTATGCCTGGTGTACAGGTATGCCTGGCGTATACAGGTATGCCTGGTGGGTTATACAGGTATGCCGGGTGTACAGGTATGCCTGGTGCGCTACTGCCATTAGCGCACACTTTCTCTTCAACTGTATGACGTTAAATGTTCGATTGCAACAAAAAAAGTGTTAATATTCATCTTAAAATTTTTCGGTTTTTAGATATCGGAAACACTTATGCGAGAAACAACTGTGCCACTCTAATTACTATTTGCAACAACGCGGTGATGTTTTATGGGTTATGTGCGCCCCTGTACATACGTACGTACGCACAACACAGTCGCTTTAAACATATCAACAAGGAACGATGAAACACGTTCCTATCAGATTGATATGTTGGGTTTAACGTTCTAAAATCGCCATATGATTATGAGAGACGCCGTAATGTTCCTATCAAAACTTAATGTTAATGTGGGTATAATGATTGCGCAAAAATGGAGTAAACATGACTGAACAGTTTGGTTATGAAAATGAATTGTCAAAACATTTTTTTCTAAAAAAGGGGAATTGGCAGAAACGTGGCGTAGTTGACACTTGTGCGCTGGTATGCGCTTCTGACTGCGCAACATAAAAATATTACTATATAAGAATAGCATATTAATAAATATAGTATTGCTGCTTTAAGAAAGCTTATGTTGTATCTCCGCTCATCGACAAGCTGACCGAGCTAACGTCGCCTGCTAAAAATGTCAGTGGCTATGCCAAAAATCTTGCGTTCCAAAACAAGCCTTCCCTAAGTGATTGACAAGTTATCTTTTCGTCCCTCTTGGATTTCGTCTCATTTATATCTAATGATATACTACAGATAACATCCCTTGTACTTTGCTTGGCTTGATTGTCTGTCAGTGCTAATAATGGTGGTTGGCTCGTTTTTTCGCTCGAAGTAAAACGCGACAACTCTTGGAGGGATTAGTTAAATTTTTTTAACACAAATGGGATAGAACCTGTAGGATCATCCGTTTGAATACGCACTTACCGGCTTTTGTAGACAGTGTAAGCAGGATACATGATTAGTGGTTGTCAATGCGTGGTATATCGTATAAGAAAATGAAAAAAGGCAACAACTTGATGGTGGCATGAAGCCACAAGGAAATTCATGTGAATTTCTCAGAAGAAAAGCGTCTCGTTGCCGAAAAATTTGTCCTGGTTCTGAGTTTGAACCTGGGACCAACGCCTCTCTAGGGTGGTCGCTCTTCCAATCGGGCTGACTAGGAAGCTGGCCAGGAAGCTTTTGCAAATGGTATATCATACCTGATAAAAAATTAATTGTAGCACATGCATGAGTAGCTCATTGTCGTCGCCAAGTTTCACTGCTTTATCGTGAAAGTAACAAAGGAAGAAAATGGCATCTACAGCGAAAATTGGTATATAAGAACTACTAACGATCCCTTAATCTTTCAGACTTGAGCGAGTGCCCTGTTGCGACTACACGCTTGGAGACAAAGGCGTAAAAGTGAAGAAAGGTGATTTAATCACGATTCCAGTTTACGCCATGCACCACGACCCACTGTACTTTCCGGACCCCATGTCGTTCAAGCCGGAAAGGTATGCATTATCACAATTTTCTGATTCCGACCAAAAGGTTATATCTATTCCATATGCTTGTCGGCTTGATTCACGGTCAAGTCAATATTTGACCTTGATACTTTCAATGAACGGCAAAATCAGAGAAACTTGCGTGTTTGTTGGCTCGCATCCGCAAGTGTATAACCCTTGAGGGTGCCTAATAGGTTTGTGCTCTGCAACAGATTTCAAGTTCAATGTTGATCAAATCTATAATGTGACTGCGATGTAAAATCTCAACATCCGAGTTCTCAACGCCAATCTGAGGGCCGATACTATCCGATTGGCTGCTGCGCACGCTTTGCCTGAGTGCGCGGAGAGCAAGTGCCTCTCTCAGTCTCCTGGATAGTCGCCGTACGTGGCACATCGTGTGTGAGGCATAGACGAAGCAGAGCAGCAGGCGCATTGAAGACGCTTGCGCTCGGCTTCATTGCCTCACGTCTCGTCGGTATTACCCACGCGCCGTCAGCATTCTCGGACGCATGGACGCATGCACGGACGGACGGACACACAAACAGGTGGACGGATGGACGCTTCGTCCCACTCATCATCATTCACTCCGCGGATATGCTGTGATTTTTGTTTATTGTATTTCCTAAATTATTTATTGACATTGTAATTACTTTGCAGTCAACAATTTTTTTGCCCAGTGGTCTACTAACCATAAACATATGTAGTTTAATAAGTTCTAAGTTTCCAAGAATATGCTTTTGGAACTAGAAATAGTGAATTGTTTGATTCATCCTTTAATATGGCGTATTTTCATTTTTGCCTCAAATTCGTTAGTCTCACTTACCCAGTTGAGGACACAGCCAATGCAGCTTTACCTGGTATCCTCTTTGCCATTGTCTTAATTTACACAGGCCTAAGCTGCATATGGTGGCTATGTCCAATCTGCTGCAGAACTTTATCGAAAATCGAATTCACATTACGTGGCTTCTATTCTCGAGCCGACAGTCTCTCAACGCGATAAACATCTTTCAGGTTCAACGAAGAGAACGTCTCCTCGATCGTACCGTACTCGTACCTCCCTTTCGGCGGTGGACCGCGCAATTGCGTTGCGTTGCGCTTTGCCCTGCTAGCGGTGAATCTCGCTGTGCTTCACACCATTCGCAATGTTGAAGTGGTTCGGACCGAGAAAACAAAAGTAAGTATGAAAGCACGTGTTCTTCAGGCAGTGATTCGCTTTTCGTGGAAGATCCCGTATAAGGAAGTATCCCTAGCAAGTCTCAATTGTGTGTTGATGAAGTAGCGAACTACCACGAAGTAGCGAACTATTATTTATTTTATTTTTATTTTCACATACTGCAGCCCGGTTACAGGGCTATCGCAGGAGTGGTTCCATAGCAGTAAACATACAACAAAAGAAACTGAGAATAATTGAAATAAATGCAAACAATGACAAATCAAATAATTACAAAAAAATGCTGTAAAGACAAATATACAATCATTGCAAAGCTAGAAAACGTCTTCTAGTGCCTTCGAAAATTCGTCTTTTTCTAATGAGCGAATGTCGTCTGGTATGGTATTCCATATTTCAATACATCGGGGAAAAAGTGTATTTGAAGAAGACTGTGCGATGATGAAACATAGATACGTTGAGTGTATGGCTGTTTCTGGTGAATGTTGTTTTTGCAAGGGTTATGTAGCTGTTGTGTGATCAATATCGAGGCAAATTAAAAAAAAAGAAGTGGGAAAGTTTGAGAGACTCGATGTCACGTCGTTTAGAAAGTGAAGGTAAACCAAGGTGCGTCAGGTGGGATGTCGGTGAGAAATTGCAGCTATAGCATCTTTATATGGAACGAATGGCTTTTTTCTGGATGAATTCAATGCGTTTTATGTCAGCAATTTTGTGTTTGTACCATACAGTGGGGCCATTATCAAGTATTGGCCTTACGAGAGTTTTATATGTTAACAATTTTGTTCTTTTGGGGCTAAACGTAGTGAACAGTTAATATATGCGAGTATTTTTAAACCTTTGTTGCAAGTTGTGTCGGTGTGTTGAGACCATGATAAGTTTGTGGTGAAAAGGAGGCCAAGATATTTGTATTGTGGGACCCGCTGTACAACGTAGTTGTACAGTGGGTCAAGTTCTATCCCCTTTTGGTCAAGTTCAATAATTATTGGATTGAAGGGTCAAGACAAATAATTATTCGTAATCAGGCGGAAATCGTTACATTACTCTTAGACCTTATTTGACTCGATGTAAGTTATGTTAAATTGTAAATTACTCTCCCGTCGGTTGCGCGCTTCATGCACTGAACTTAAATATTTTAAATTGTAATTACCGGTATTTCTTAAGTTATTAAAAACATATGAACTAATTAAAAATGTACGTGGCTGCACTTAAAAGGTTATAAAATAAGGTACGTGGCAGCACAACAGACCTGCTGCCATCGTTGTGTGTTTTAGAAGTCCGAACAAAACAAAATTTTGTCGCTTCGTTTACGAAACAGTAACAATAATGATGTAAAACTGGCAGAAAATGTTGAAGAGAACAAAACCACCACATAATTTAGTGAAACTCCCGCATGAGTTATTGTCATTGGACAAGTAACTCTTATTTTCACAGAATTTAGACATAGCCGTAAATGATCCCATACACTGTTTTTTTTTTCAGGTACCCCTGCAATTCAAGAAAGGTTTCGGCCTCCTTACTGCGAAGGATATAGTCTTGGGGGTAAGACCACGGCAATAGCTCGTACGCCAGTTGCGCATGCGCTCGCAGCACTCCCCCTCCCCCCCTCCCCCGCCCCTCATCGTGTCAAATCATGATTTTCCACTCAATACGCGCACAATGGTACCGTAACCTTCCGTTTTCTGCTGTAGAATATTACGGCTGAAACATTGTGCGAAAATAAAGGATCGTTTTAAGTTCGAAACAATGTATTTGTCTCTTGAACGTTTTCTTTTGCTCACGGAAATACGTCAGCAAAATGAACTTGACCAAATAACGAAGAACAAAAGCTACGTAGAAACGTTCCGTTTACAAGAGTAGAGACCATGACCACGGCCGCTGGATGAAAAAAAAAACAAAAAACAAAACACGTTTTTTTTTATCCAGCGGCCATGCCATGACTTGTTGGTCCATGATGATTATTAGCGGACGTTTAATCCACTGTGAAATGGTCAAACACTTGCTTGGAGCTGGACTAACACTCCTATTATCTCTTACATTGTCCTCTTACTGCGTTCTTGGTTCGCGGTTTAGTATCACCGTCTAGAAGCGGTAGAGTGAAGCATGCGAGTCGTTCGTGATTAGTTCAGACTGCGGGTTATTTTTACGACCGTCTCATTCGGCATGTTTCAAAGCGTAATTATGATAACACCTCAACACACAGCGAGGTGGTGGTTATATGACAAGCCTCACGCATATATTTATTAATAATATCAGAATGGCTTTCCGACGCTCGCTTGGTTGTCGGACCACGTTCCCCACACGCCCGTGAGAAATAATGGCCATGCTAGACGGAATGCACGACGTGCGTTTCGTTTCGTTGGAGTTTCATGACGCTTTAAAACAGTGCATATATCGAGGGCCAGTGTTTTGTTTTGTTTTTGTTTATGTCATATTTGCACGGAATTTCAGCGTCCAAGTATGTGCTAACGACTTCAGCTACCGCAAGGGTTAAATCATGAGCGCGCGGGTGTTAGTCGACTGGACAGAAATGGATGGATAGAAGCAACCTTATTGAAAGTCTGGCGACGTTTAACAACCCGGGCTCAGGTCTTCTATAGGAGACTTTGGGACCTTGCCTCATCGCCACCTCTCGGGCCCGCTGGATTGCCAACTCTTGTGTCTTGATGTTCGAGCTGCGCAAAGTGGCGGCCCACTTCGACGAAAGAGCATCCGGAGCTATACTGTCATTTTAGCTGCTGTAACAGGTCACGCCTACAACAGGAGTGAAAGCGTCGCTCGAGTTCCCTGGTATAATGTGCAAGTATCACTAGTGTATTGATCGGGGAATATGTGCTTCAATCACACCGAACTGAGGAAGGTGTCTGTCTGCAGCTGTCACCAGACTACTGTGGCACCGTTTCAGCTTGGGGTGAGATGAGAGCCATATCCGCCTGCCTAACTGGTAGCGCTGGGTAAAGTCACTATACCTGACTAAATGTTCTTCTTTATCTGTTGAACCAGGAGGTCGGAGCTCGACGAGTTGCGTAGTCCCAGATTCTGCGCGGCGGGTCATTTGTGCACACATAACGGTGTGCCACTTGGTTCGAATTATGAGGGTCTTCATCGGTGGGAGTGGTAACATAGGCTGGGAACCACGAATCGCGGGGCTACTTAACTGCTGTCTACCAGCATTCCTCAGGATCTGCAGAGCTTTGGGGGAAATGGGTCCCCACACGAAGTTACGAATTGCGGATTGTGAGTCGCTAAGAACTGCCTGGAAGATGGGGTCGGTGAGCAAAAGCGTGATCGCAACCTCTTCCACTGTGTCTGGGTACTTCGTACTGATACTACACACGTTTGTAAGTCGATAGACAACATCTACGACTACCACCGTAAACCGGTGTTTGTGTGCGTTATCTGCCGCGTCAACCAAGCGCGAAGCCCTCTCCCCACAGAAGGAGCGCAGCAGTACCTAGCACGAGCTATCGTCGGCCCCCGTTATGTTCAGGGAGCATCTTTGTAGATATAGGGGCGACAGAAATGAATGGGTGCGCCCCATCCACCCACCTCAGCGTGGGTGCGTCCACATCAAGCGGGGCTACATCTTATTTTGTGTGATTCTTAAAAAGAAAAGAAAAGAAAAGTGAGCCCCCTAACTGTCTGCATCAGAAACACCTCAACAGTAGCTCACGAGAGATGGGGGTAAGAAGGGATTAAAAGGATAAGATTAAAATGTAAAGAGAGAGAGAGAGAGGAAGGAGAGAGCGAGGCGCAGAGACAGCGAACGACAGAAAACGATGGAAGATAGGAAATAGGACAGATGGACACAGTCGCAGGAGTCCGAGGACGGGGCACCACTCGGCGAGAGCTCTTGGAGATGGCGTAGGGCGAGCCCAGACGGCCAGAGCTGCGCTGTCGTCGGAGGTCGCGGGGGCACAACCGGTCGGCACAAAATCCAGAGAGCGAGTCTGGTGCTATATCTTCCAAACATTAAGGTATCATATATCAATGCACTGCAAACGATCGACCACTTATGTGAGTACACGCACGTTTCAATTTCGTGCTATAGCTTGGTTTCTATGACGGAGGGACCAGCCATGTTTTTTACTGCTTCGAAGGCACAGAATTTTCATTCATTGTGCACGGACGTAACCACTGATATTCATTTTGTGCTGTAGTTAAATGATCGGCATAACTGGAGGGATCAATCGCTTGGCATTTTCATGGGCGCCAGTAGGGATTGGAGAAAAGCCACTTGACCCCTTCCGAAGCCACATCAGTTCCGGCCCCTCACTCAAGCTTCACCAGAGCACTCCCCTCATCCAACCTTGTGCGACACGGTTTCGTGCCCTCCAAGACAGAATCAGGCCTATACTATAGGGCACGATACAGAAATTAAAATTGGTTGAAAATTTCGTGAGTATTATGGGGAGTGACGAAAATACGTAGTTCTTCAAAGTTGCTTAATTTACGCTTACAAAATGCAAAACAAAATGAAGCAAAGTAAATTGTCACGATACTAAAGCGAGAAAACATATCAGTGAGGGCTGGTCTTAAGTAGTACCGGGAAACAGTCCACAGTGTAAAATCCGGCCCGGGGACTAAAGCCCTTGGGGACTAAAGCACGCTAAGGTGCCGGTGGCAACCTTAGCGTGCTCTTTTGCTTCATATTTGGCTTTCTTGGTTGCGATTTTCAAAAAAGAAACAACAAACAAAAAATAAAAGCAAAGTTGTCTTTCGCAGAAAATGTGGTTACGAGGTGGGACATTTCCTTCATGGAGTTTCTGAAAATTAACAATAGGGAACACTGTTGGTGCGATCGTTCAGCGACCATGGGTGTGATGGGTAGTGCACGGATTTGCCTATACTCTCCGTACTTGCGGGCTTGGAATTGAACTTGTAGCTTCGTTTGATTGATTGATTTGTGGGGTTTAACGTCCCAAAACCACTATATGATTATGAGAGACGCCGTAGTGGAGGGCTCCGGAAATTTCGACCACCTTGGGTTCTTTAACGCGCACCCAAATCTGAGTACATGGGCCTACAACATTTCCGCCTCCATCGGAAATGCAGCCGCCACAGCCGGGATTTGATCCCACGACCTGCGGGTCAGCAGCCGAGTGCCTTAGCCACTAGACCACCGTGGCGGGGCTTGTAGCTTCGTTTGTCACTTTGATTCGAAGGAAAGAACAAACCATTTTAAACTTCGATGCCCGATTCGAAATGGTACGCCTAAAAGATTATGGTGGTGGTGAACCGCAACTGCTGAACATCCGCTGATTTCAGTGTCATCGCAATGCAACTCCAAGTCACGCGAAGCCATCTGGAGCCGAAAGTACAAAAACTATACAAATCTGCGTACTACCCATAATTCCCATGTTCACTGAAGGAGCCGCCTGTCGCAGCTCCCATAGACATTAGCGCCAGAGTTCCCTTCAGTGTATTCATAGGAAACTCTGTGACTTCCATCGCCACCGACAGAAAGACTTCGTCAGACGTGCGGCTGCTTCGCCTGACGCGAGTGGTGCTGCAGTCACCGTTGCAGAACAGTCTCGGCTCGCTCGCTGCCGGGTTACAGCGAGTGCTTTGCTTGTTTTTGCTCTTCCGGCTATGGGACACATGAGCTTTATTCGTTCAACCGTCTCCTTACCCCAGAAAAACCCGCCACAGTGGCCGAGTTGTTATGGCGATCGACTGCTGACTGGGAGGTCACGGGATCGAATCACAGCCGTGACGCTCACATTGCATCGGCGGCTGAATGCTAGAAGCCCGTGCGTCCCGATTTAGGTGCACGGTAAAGAACCCCAGGGGTTTGAAATCCCCTGAGACCTCTACTACAGTGTCTCCAATCAAGCCCGTAGCCAGGGGGGGATGTCTAGAGGCCCAGCCTTCCCCCCGTTATTCAGATAGAGGGGGGGATGGTTAACAAAAAGAAATAATAGAATAGATGTCTTTCAAAGCCTTTAACAACTGACCCCCTCTCCCCCTCCCCCCACACAAAAAAATTCTGGCTACGGGCCTGTTTCCCATAATAATATTTTAATTTACGAATGCGAAGCCCCAGCAATTATTAATATTATGACTACTTCATCGTTTTCCAAGCCACATCTCTTAGTTCGCGCTCTATGGACCTATGCCGGACGTAGCCACACTTGTCGCCTTCCTCAGCTCTCATGTGAGCCTGCTTCCGCATCTGCCAGAAATGGACATCGGTGCCCGCCCAATGAGCCTATACACCGAATCACGCCTTGCCCGACACGCAGTACTGTCTGCCGTCGAAGATTGCGCTTTCTTTACATCTCCTTTCACTGTGTTTGTCAACGGGCGTCCACGGCTGTGGCCGTTGAGCAAGAGGCGTCGAGGCGTGGTCAGCGGCGCGCGTCACTACTCGTGCACACAGCTGAGCCGGCACGCTGTGACTGCATCGGAGGCGAGGTCGTCACAGGTCGTGTCCCGCAAGGAGCGTGCCGGAAACAATGGAGCCGAAATGGAAGCGAGCGTCGAAGGTGAGGTGCTGACGCCGGTGGCGTCACCCTCGGCATTTCTAGGCTCGATAATGCCGGCCTGATCGGCGTGTCGTTGCACGAGCAGCCGACGTCGTTTATTTAACTACGGGTGATCGTACGCTCGCACGAAGGCTGTGATAATGATGCGCAATGAGCGTTCATTTAAGCGCTCAAGTGGCAAGTGGCGGTCTGTTCTTGCCATCGCAAATATGTTTATGTGAAACTGTTTTACAAGATGTTCTTATGGTTCTCTTAGAAGGATGTGTCAGTTGTACACGCAAGGGAACGCATCGAAACAAAAATGAGACCTAGCCATCCGCCTTTGATGTACCATTGTTGTCTATTTTTACATAATAACTTGTGTGCCTGCTCCCTCAGTTTTACTTGTTGAAGTTTTATAACTATACTGTCGCACTTCGCCAACTGCAGACCCGAACTTTCCCAAACCCCAACTTCATGAATGAAATATACCCGACTCGTTATGCTGATGTCTGTTCTGTCCAGGCTGTGGCGCTGTCCCTACAACTTTTCACGTTACCGTAGAGTGCTCCGCAGCTTACTACCCTCCCCTTCCTCCAATCCTTCGGTCCACCCGTACCCCAGAGCAGTGTGAAGGCACCCTTCACGACGGCGCCCCCGAGGTCTGCCGGGCCCTCATTCTCAGGGCCTGGACTGTCGCGGAGGTTACCATAGGAGTCCTGGAATAGGGACCCTCCCCGTTTACCTTGAATTTTCATAATAAAATATTTTCATCATCATCATCATCAACTCGTAACGGTATTTCTGATCTTCTGTCTTGTCGAGTTCTGACCTTGTATTTATCGGGCGTGGTACTTTGTTGTCATAGTTCTAATATTTCATTCATTAATAATCATGATATTCCTTTCTTTATGTGAATGAACATTTCTTTTATTCTCTCTTTTCCTATTTTTGATTCTTTTTTTTTCTGACATTATACGAACAGAACACTTTGCTGGTGTAGGCAAGTGATGGAGGGGGGGTTTCACATCCTCCCTCTATCCTAAATTTCACATGTGTATGCTTGCACACACACATTCAAACTTACGCACGACCATGCATAAAAAGTGGTGCGTCCCTCGAGCATTAGCACGAGTGTAAGTAGCCTTTCCGAAAGCGACGTCAGGTGACATCACCCCTCATAACGTTTGAGAGCACATATAAGATTTATGTCTACGATTTTTGTCTTTTTGTCCATGTTTTACACTGTTGCACAGAAACCAAACATGGTTGATGTATAAGGGTACGTAAAGAGCATCTTCGAAGTGAGTGATAGCCTTGCGGGTGCGCAGGTATGCTGTAAAGGCGGGCAGTCATCCGCGTCATACTGCCAGCTTCCTCATTTTCATTTATCTGCAGCTCGCGAGAACGTTGTGATACGCCTAAGTGATTCAAGTAAATTATGACAGAAGTCCTTACACTACTAAGATGCACTGCTGCAGTGGAAAACGATTATATAGAAAGGAAATGTCCCGTATAAAGAAGTTCGTTTCAATCGTTTATAAGTAATGTAACGCGTGGAAACTGCAGTTGTTGTGACTTCACTAATGACGCGGCAGCATTCGTTGTAGGTGACCAAAAGTACGAACGTTTGCGACGGCCTGTATTTTTTTTCATCTCCGCGTCATATACCTTTTTTTCTTTCGTATATTGTCCTTTTATAACTCCCCAGCGTCGACAGCTCGTGAGACGTGGCACTCAACAACGCACCCGGCCGACGCCATGATACGTATGCACTTAACTCTTCCTTCCGTCAACATCCTTGCGGCCTTAATCCGGGATTTCCGAGCCAGTCTCTATCACTGTCGACACTCGCTTCTCGCGGGACTACGTCAACAACACTCACCTGTCGCACAATGAACGGGGGTGCATTATTTGACTCCGGGCTCTGTGTCGAAAGCGTAATAACACAAAGAGACAGCCAAGTCATACTTGATACCGCAGAACGTGGTACTACGCGTTTGAACAGCACGTGCGACCTGCACAGGTGAGGTTAAGGACAGCGAGGTAGAACATGTATAAATCACCGGGCGAGTGCCTTCCCTTTTCTCAGGTTTTTGGCCAAGCCGAGGGTCATGTAGAAGAAAGAGGAGCCCGTGTTGAAACAAGCGTTTAAAGTTTACGTATTAACACCAAGGGGGAATTCCCTGTGTAGACTAGACACCACAAATTCGGCCAGGGAAAACACCTTGCAGAAGGAGGGAAGTGGGCCACCTGTGAGGGAACCTTTCTTTCTTTCTCCCGCCTCGCCTCCAAGAAGCGTGGCGGAGTCTACTTAAGAGGCCACCGATCCGATCCGTCAGAGAGGGAGCCGAGAGCGACACGAGATTCAATCAACGCGCATGCGAAGACGCGCGGACCGAGAGTCATCATGAGAGTTGCAGTGAGTACTTTTTCTTCCCACCTTTAGGAGAAATGCATGAACACAGCCGAAGAAAAGATAAAAATGATAATACTGATAATAAATAAGAACAACGTAACACTGACGGTAAAATAAATGCTAATATTCGATTATCTAGAAAAAAGAGATAAACGGTATAAGTTTAGGTAAATTATAAATGCCCATTGTGTCAGTAAATACATGTTTAGGTTCTGCAATACACCGTTGAAGAGCTAAGAACACGCTCTTTTGTTCTACAGTAGCGCTGTTAGGTCGTGTGTTTGATTCCCAGCAACTGTTACTGTTTAATGCGGAGAGACGAACTATATTGTACTAACGTATATTAGCGTAAGCCACTAGTTGTCACCCATAACTTCAAACATATGAAAGGAAGTTCTGTGCAAGAGCGGTCGTGTACCGTGTTTATGGAGTGCTTTAAAAAATACCTTGAGGTAAATCTTAATCGCAATTTCGTATTACCTATGGTGCAGTCTAACGACTCTAAACACCTTAATTCAGTTAAGGGTAATGATGTTTATTCATTGACACTACGGTAGTGCTTAATTCACTATGCGAAAGCTTTAGAAAATCCATTATTCGAAACGACCCCGAGAAAGAAAGCTCTTAAAAAAGAGAGTAAAATAGAGAAAAAAAAACGCTGACCTGATTACGAGATTCGCAGTGAGCGCTATGAGTGATAATAATTGCGATACCTTGAGCGAAATGTGGAATATTGCTGATATTCTTCCATTCCCAAATACAGAGACCCCAAATTAATCCTCTATGAGAAAATGCGAATTTATATTAACGCCTTTGAACGCAGCAGATGAAGATACCATTTTTTTCTTACACAAGAGTCGTTCATTTGCAAGGATCAATTGATATGAGAGAATGGCTGCAGTCTACCAAAATTCACTTACCTGTCGATAACAGACCAGCAGGCTATCGTAGCACTATACTACTGATACTAGCTCCTGATAAAAAAAAAAACATTTGCATTCACCGTCCGTTCGCGTCACGTAATACAAAATTTGGCATGCGTGAAGCTAGCGAAACGGCCGCGAGTGCATTATAAACGTGACATGTAGTCATGTTCTTACATGACACGCATCTCATGATTATCATGTTTGCACCAGTGATGTACCTTTGTCGCTCATTCACGTCCCGTGATACAAATTTGGTATGTGTGAAGCTAGTGAAATGATAACAGTGAGCGCGCTACGAGCGTAGCATGTATAGTCATGCTTTACATGACACGCATGCATAATTTTTATGTTTGAACGTGTCATTTACCTTCGTCGTCCGTTCGCGACACGTAATATAAAATTTGATATATGTGAAGCTAGCGAAAAAACCGCGAGCGTACCATGAGAATGGCGCGTAGTCATGACTTACATGACGTGCATGTCATGATTTCTACGTTAGGGTTTGTCACTTATGATCGCCACGCCGTCATGTGATACCACACCAGCCTTGCAATATGTCATGTGAACGAAACCACCGCAAGAGCAGCAAGACCATAAAATGTAAATCATGACAGTCATGACATATATGTCGTGATTTTCATATGTTATGAATAATCAGTTATGATCGTCATGTAGTAATATAATGTCATACCAATTTTGGTATCGATACCTTTATTGAAACAGCCAGGAGAGTTAAAAGTCATAGGCGGATAGAAAGATAGATAGATACGCTCAAAGTCGCTGAAGTTCGCTAAGAAATGCATCGCATTCAAAAGAAGTCCCTGATTATACATATACCGGAAAAAATGAATGTGCTAAAAAATTTGCTAAATCTAAATCAGCTGTTTACTCAACTAGGCACTGCTTCGTAGCAGAAGCTTAGAAAGCATTTTGTTCTCATAATTATACAGCTCTTGCTGGCGTGTTGTGCTACTGACACGTGTTTGTAAAAACACCTAAACAACCGTGGCAGTTTTAGCAAATATATCATTAAAAAAAAGCCCGAATAAAGGCGCAGCTAACTGAAAGAGAATAATGACATACGCACTCAGATTATTAATCGGGTCTCCCTTCTGACTTATTCTGCGCGAGCGCTGGCCCAATCAATACGTTCTTGTTGCTCTGACCACTATGTGCAAAAACCTACATGTCTCGTTGAATTCAACATATATATATATATATATATATATATATAGACGTAACATACCCTCGTTGAACTATCACATGGTGATATAGCTAAGTCACTGAACGCTCCCGTGAGTCAAACAAAAAAGAACACCCTCCCCCCTCCCCCCAAAAGAACAAAGAAACAAAAAAGTAAAGCTGGACTCTTAAAGCTTGCTTTTAGCTTTTACGCCATCAAGGCGATCAAGTTGAGAGGGGCAGTTTATTGTGGGGAAGTGAACACGTGACACGTGAACGAGCTCGCGTGATCGTGGGTCGGCCAAACGATTACGTCATGAATACACGACTCGGTGAGCACACTTCTCTGCCTTTCATTATTTACGAGCGGTCATCTGTAACGACAGCGAGCGATGACTGGCATTTTTAGAGAAATCGCAGCCTTGTACTAGAATTAAAGGCCGGAAAAGCTATTGGGCAAGCCGCACGGCGCTTTCAAAATCTCGCCTCAAGAGTCTTCAGTCTGAAGTTTGCCGTCCTACATCTCGAAACCATTGAAACATTCTTGAAGAGACTGTGCAATTGCCGCATGAAATTGAGAATTGAGCTTTCCCAGTTTGCTTCAAGTGCTAAAATGATCTTTGGCTGTGTTCATAGCGCGAAAAATTAATGCCTCTGCCCAACTCTATTACAATACTGAGATTCGTTTGGTCACCATGTTGCGCAAAACAAGTGCATCTTCGCTCTTTACCACTTCATATATTTTGTGATTTAATTTCTATTAGGTGAGGGAATTGCGGAAGGAACATCACTCAAACTGTGGCCAACTTTTTTTTTCAAGATCGACTATATAACTTAACAACACCCGTACTAGATGTGACCTAATAATATGTGCATACAGATATTCTTTATCGTGACTGGGACGTTTGTGTGTGCTTGTGTTTCCATGAACCAAGCTGCTCCTCACGGCGCTGTTTCTTGTCATCGGCGTTGCGATGGCTGGTTACCGAAGAGGATATGGAGGCTACGGAGGCTACGGAGGCTACGGTGGATACGGAGGCTACGGAGGAAGTGGATACGGAGGCGGCTACGGCGGTGGTTACCGGGGTTACAATCGGCCCTATGGCTACGGAGGCTACGGTGGTGGCGGACGTGGCTACTACGGTGGATACGGAGGTCATGGTGGTTATGGACATCACCACGGCTATCATCACCATCCTCATCATCATTATCATCAACACCACAGACCATATGGTTATGGCGGATACGGTGGTGGCTACGGAGGTGGTGGTTACGGTGGTGGTGGCTACGGCGGCTACGGGGGATATGGTGGTTACGGATATGGGCGCTGACAGAGGAAGAACTACTATTGTATAGAACATGGCTGATGCTATTCTTGTATAAATTATGCTTTGGCGAGAGATTCGTGTGTGCTCCTGTGAATTGGTTATTGCTTCAATTACAGCACCTTCTGTCAAGTGGCAACGAATGGAAAGTACGTTACAGAGCTGAGGAAATATATTATTTCCTTCGACTTCAGTGTTCGATTGCAATTGTATTGATAGCAGCAGATGCTGTGAGTAAGATTGCGGTAATCGCGCACGTAAGATCACCACGACAGTTACATAATGCTAGACTCCGTACACAGGTCGGTGGTACAGGACAGTTCTGATCACATAAGGCCTATAAACTTATTTCTATTCAAACAATACAAGAGTGGTATTGTGAATGTGGTTTTAGTATAAAACAGTAGATGATATGGCTTCAATAAGTAAGTCCGTTGAATGAAGAACCACATTTTTACTATTCGCATCGTTCATCAATGACTGCACCCCTCCTCGTTCTCTTCTTTTCCCTTTCCTTTTGTACAGCACCTTGTTTACTGAAACAGCAAACGTTGAAGTTTTTTGCCGTGAAACCATTTGCCGAAATTACGGTCATCTGGTGTTTTTTTAACATGAACTGACATCGCATAGTACACGAGCCTCTTCCATTTCGCCTCCATCGAAAGGTAACTGCCGCGGCCGCAATCGAACTCTATTACATTGTAGTAATCCGCAGTTTAAACCTCTCGAGTATAACATCATATAGTATGACACTAAGTGCGTGGTTGAAGCACGCGGACTGGTATTACGGCTAGAGCAGCCGTAATACCACTCAAGCTTCCAATAGCGAGCTGTAGTGAAAGATCAACAGTCCGGCTTTATTTTGTTTCAGAAAAATATTTACAAGAACACGCGCTGTTCTTTGGCGTTATAAACAGGTGCGAAGCGTCAAATAGAGAGCAGGATGGCACCAGCAACAGGCTAGCGATATGTTAACCTGCATGCGTGCGGCTTAGTAATGTTTAATGTTTTATTGGCTAAAACCGAGGTATGACTATTGGGGACGCCGTAGTGAAAGGCCCTCGAAATTTCGACCATCTGCAGGTGTTCTTTAACGTGCACTGGCGTAGCGCGGCACGGGTTTGTGGCATTTTGTTCCATCTAAGTGCTACAACCACAGCAGGGATTGGATCCTTTTGGATCAGTAGCAGATTACAGTAATCACTATAACAACGCGGTGGACTCACACAACTTCATTGCTCTGTCTTAAGATTCGTACTGCGCGTTATGGGCTTCGATGCTCATGGGCACCAGCCTGCAGCAAGGAAGGGGGGGGGGGGGATTAACATGCGCGCCTATCGGCCAACACTACAGGAAAGCCTGAAAACGTTGTTTATTATTTCGTGCTCCCTTACTTATTTCCAAACAATAAAAAATAGGGCTCGTAAATGCACTGAAATCGAAGTTCAAAAAAATAGAGAGTAGCATAAGAAAAAAAAAAGGGGGGGGGGGGTTAACTGCCCTTATACTTAACCTTTCATGGGACACTAAAGGCAACTAGTAAGTCGACGTTGATTGTTGAAATAGCGTAGTGTTACTTTTGTGTCAAGGGAGGGACAATTTTGAAATAAAATCACGTTTTGGTGCTCCGCATCGGGTTATCGCACTTCAAATTACCCGCCTCAAGAAGCGAACCGACCAGACTGACTCACGTCACTGTTGCCGTGCACAACGTTGCCTGACTTTTCTGCGCTAGTTGCAGCAGACCAAAACCAGCGAGAGCCACAGCTGCAACAACGGCCATTGATCGATTTCCCGCCATTGGCTTTGAGATTGCAGCCGCTTTTTGGTTGAACTGCGCCCCGCTAGATAGAACCACCTGACCGGTGTAAACACGCGAAATTGAATTTTTGAACTACTCGCGCCATTCTCAATAGTAACGTCCGGCGTTTTTTTTTTTTTTTCATTAATCAAACAGACACGAACAAGCAGCATTTTATAGCGTCTCTTGATGTACGGAAGGTTCCTTATATAGTACAGTCAGATCGATAACTAGTGACTAATTGTAGGCGGTCCGCCTGATGTCATCGGGATCATTTTGAAAATGTCCTCCTGCGGTGCTTGTGTTCTTGTGAATTTAACTTAATTTCTCGGTAAGTAGGGCGCTGTTGTTGGTAATATTGTCGTTTTAGATGTCGTCATACATTGAGCTTTCACTCTGACGTAAATTGTTATTTGACTTTAGTGTTCCTTTTAAGAGATCAGCGCGATAGCACTATCCTGTACCTAGTGCGTACTTCAACCACTTAGTGCATACTTTTTTATTGTACGATGTTACTCGAGAGGTTTAAAATACAATGGAATCGAATTCAATTCCGGCCATGGCGGTCGTATTTCGATGGTGGGGAAGTGGTAGAGGCCCACGTAATGCGCGTTGTCAGTTACAATAAAGAAAATCAGATGGTTGAAATTTTCGGAGCCCTCCACTATGGCGTCTCTCATAATATTATCGTGGTTTTGGAACGTGTAAACTGCAGATATTAATTATAGCGATGCAATCGATAAAGTTGAAAGTCGCTTGCGTCAGTGAAGCTTTCGGATATGATTGCATCCTGTGGAAAGGGTAGCATGCTTTCAAAGACAAGAAATTATGCGCGTGAAATGTTTGCGATCTATAGCTATGCAGCCAGTGCTTGATCTTAAGGGAATACGGGCTGTAACGTGTGTCGCTTTTGTGATAGGCGGCCGACTTCAAGCCATGAAGCCGTTATGATAACCATGCACACGTTCTGACGCCCGATGGCAAGGTACGCCGGGGCCGCGCAATATTACTGCGATAATACATCATCATCATCATCATCATCATCATCATCATCATCATCATCATCATCATCATCATCATCATCAGCCTGACTACGTCCACTGCAGGACAAAGGCCTCTCCCATGTTCTGCCAGTTAACCCGGTCTTGTGCTTGCTGCTGCCAATTTATACCCGCAAACTTCTTAATCTCATCTGCCCACCTAACCTTCTGTCTCCCCCTAACCGCTTGCCTTCTCTGAGAATCCAGTTAGTTACCCTTAATGACCAGCGGTTATCCTGTCTACGCGCTACATGCCCGGCCCATGCCCATGTCTTCTTATTGATTTCAGCTATGATATCCTTAACCCCCGTTTGTTCCCTAATCCACTCTGCTCTCTTCTTGTCTCTTAAGGTTACACCTACTATTTTTCTTTCCATTGCTCGCTGCGTCGTCCTCAATTTAAGCTGAACCCTCTTTGTAAGTCTCCAGGTTTCTGCTCCGTAGCTAAGTACCGGCAAGATACAGCTGTTATATACCTTTCTCTTGAGGGATATTGGCAATCTACCTGTCATAATTTGAGAGTGCTTGCCAAATGTGCTCCACCCCATTCTTATTCTTCTAGTTACTTCAATCTCGTGGTTCGGTTCCGCGGTTATTACCTGCCCTAAGTAGATATAGTTGAAGTGCACTATTGCACTATTACTTGAAGTGCACTATTGAAGTGAACTTGAAGTGCACTATTACCTATCTCGAAGCGCTGCTCTTTTCCGAGGTTGTTGTACATTACATTCGTTTTCTGCAGATTCATTTTAAGACCCACCTTTCTGCTCTCCTTGTCTAACTCCGTAATCATGATTTGCAATTCGTCCCCTGAGTTACTCAGCAATGCAATGTCATCGGCGAAGCGCAGGTTACTAAGGTATTCTCCATTAACTCTTATCCCTAACTGTTCCCATTCTAGGCATCTGAAAACCTCCTGTAATCACGCGGTAAAAAGCATTGTGGAGATTGTGTCCCCCTGCCTTACACCCTTCTTGATTGGTATTCTGTTGCTTTCTTTATGAAGCACTATGGTAGCAGTTGATCCCCCGTAAATTTCTTCCAGGATGTTTATATATACTTCATCGACGCCCTGATTCCGCAGTGTCTGCATGACGGCTAATATTTCTACTGAATCAAACGCCTTCTCGTAATCTATGAAGGCTATGTATAGTGGTTGGTTATATTCTGAGCATTTCTCTATATTCGCCATATAACCGGCCTAGGTTCGATTCTCACTCGGGCCCCGAAACATTTACTATTAGTTTTATAAGCATGTTTCTCGGCTTTTCGGTCACGCACAAGATGATTTTTCGCTCCCAACCAACGACGCCGACATTTATGCGAAATGAGTTTTTTTTTAACGCTGTAACTCTAAAAAAAGGGGAAAAAAACCTTCGAAGAATTAAACACGCGAGATGCTGCTGTCTAAGAAGTCTAACACTAACTATACCTAACTGCATTCTTATTTATTCTGACGTTTGCGAGCAGCCTATGTACACGGGTGGTCAAAAGTTTTCACGTCATTATCCCATGTATTCCTGGGGCAATGTGGCATGAGAACTTTGATGCCCCCTCGGCATATTGGTAACCGTTTTCCAAAGCATGCGTGTTCAAGTTCACGGCGCTCAAAAATCAAATGGGCAATCTGCGTTCACGACTGCACGTCTCGTGTGGAAGTCGAACCAGCGCATAAGAAGATTCGCAAGATAGTGCTTTCTTACTCGCTATAAACCGTGTAACGCGGCACTATGTAGGTGACTGCATCCTACGCAAAATATTAGGCATTTTTTAGGGTAAGGTACACAAATCTCTTGCGTTAGCGTTCATTGGCCCTGCAGATGCTTCATGAGCTGCCCTCTTGCATATCCATGGCATGAAGTGACGGAAATAGCACCCGCACCCAACGAACGCTATAGCCTACCGTGTCTAATGACACCTATTTTTTTCTTTGTACAGTTGAAATGAGTCGTGCAGGCGACGGCAGGAAGCGCCTACTACCAAGTCATGTGCGTGCTCCGCGTTTACGCCCGTATTCTTTGCGTCATGTAGCGGTTACACAGGAACTGAGCATGTAGTTGCACAGTGGAGCGCTACGCAAAGCTCTGCGTTGCGCATGTGTCGTACGCTAATCTGTAGCGGGCTCCCATTGAGTGACGAACGCTCAAGCAAGCTTTGAATGCGTTCGGTATTCAAAAAAATTCTGGTATCTTCGTGAGGGCTACGCAATCTGCATACCCATGAGATGACCGCATCT